GGGAGAAAATCAAAAAGATGGATGTCAGCAGTGAAGAAAATTTTATTTTCTAAGAAGTCATCAACTGGGGCTGTACATTTGTGTGTATGTATCATAGTAAAGGAGTTAGAAAGCCCCAGTAGTATTTCAAGTCGAGTATCAAGTTACTGCGAATAATTAGATTATCAGTAGACATTAAAACATAATAATAACAAGGTGAATAGGAGGTTCAGAAGGTAATTATTCAGAAAGTTGATTGTTTATGATAGCCATGGTAAAGACAAAGGTTGGACTTATTTCTTTTGATGAATACATAGAGCCGACTTGAATTTTTACATAGCTGATGCTTCAACCGTGCAGAGATGTCTTGACCACACTTCTTCTGAGAGGTTTGGTTCGATCTTGTATAGGACTTTGAAAGACTTTTCAAATGGAGTTGAGTGTCCTGAGTTCCCAAGATGTTTGCTTGCTATGTATCACTTAAATTCAGTCGTATAAGTACTTCACGCATAACTGTTATATATTGATGTTTGCCATGTAAATGGTACTAAATTTTACTAAACTGATGCTAAAACCTGAAATATACCTTCCATTCCAGTTTTTCATCAGAACTCCACAGTATATATTTTCTGTCTTCCTTTAAAATATCGTCCCATGAAGTATACTACTTTTAAGTAGATTGTGTGTTTCCAAAAAAATAGTCGAGGTGTTTGAGAATGAATATTAGGTAATATATGTGTAAAAGTTGAGAACAGCAGTAATGTGTTGTAATTCCATATTTCTTTTTTTGCTGAATATATCAAACAGTGTTATTTAATGAATGATGGAGTTTCGGACGCAGTATACTGTTCAGAATCATATCATTAATTGTAACTACACAATTTGTGTGTCTGTAGCTTAGCGGTGGAGTTCTCGACTCCTACGCATGCCTTCTGGAGTTCAGTCGCTAGCCGACGCACTCCTAAACCTTGCTAAGCCGGTAAAGAGGTAAGTTTGGGAATGAGGCTAGCAATTCCACCTCGTAAAAGAAAAACATCACTGCTAACGAAATTTCAAAGCTCTAGCTTGAAGTCCTATGTTCCACTGGGGAGGTAAAGGAATGAAACACAACTTCGAAACTCGATTTTTATACTTCCTGTTCTCCTTTGCCGTTTGTTGTAAGGGTAGTAGGATTCTCTAGATATCTGGGACACGTGTTCATTTACTCTTGTTGCTTGTATTCTCAAGTGAATCAATAGATAAATAGTCAGTTATTAATCTCTCCATCCAACTTGCACGCATACATCAGATCTATGTTTCATGTTAGTACATAACCACAGGTTTATTTTTTCTGTGCTTTAGATTTAGTGAATTAACAGAAATTACACCACAGCAATTGTGGTGGAGTGGGTTATGCGTGAAACTGTGCGTGAGAGTGAGAAGACAGGAATACGCTGCACTGACCGATAAGAAAACTCTAAAAGATCTGGATTTCGCGCGTGGATGATTTATGTCTAATGTCACACAAACTCGAAGACTTATGGGCGAAAAGCAGAAAACTGGCTGCAGAACTAGGAAGCGAAGACAGGACCTCAAGTGAACATAGAGAAGACGGAGGTGATGAAGATAACCAGCCAACCAACAGCAACGACAACCAGCAATTATATATTACACTATTCAGACAAATTACGTCTTCATATTGCTTTATCTAAATAATAATCATAGTTGAATGTCAAGTAGCGAAACAATTAGTGTCATATATAGAATAATTCATAAGGAGCATAGATGTTGGAAAGGGGTGCATAATTATAGGATTAGTAGGCCAATATAAAATGTTACATAAAAAGGTGTGAAATTTTGATAAGATAGAATTCAATATTGCCACAAGAATTCTTTGGGATTTAGAATGACAAGTGGGACAAGCGGAAATAATTCAAAATGAGTGGTAATAATAATAATCGTAGTAATGAGAGAAAGGTACATAGATTAACTAAATAAACAAAACAAATAAACGTCTATCCGTCTACGGTCAAGGCAGAAGTAGAGATTGTGCATACCTCAGTTTGTACACAAAGGTCTGGCTGGCTTAAATTCAGAAATGAATGGGGAAGGCCTCCGCTATCTTTAGAAGTCTGTAACGAAGAAAATGCGGCAAGTTAGCATGAATTCGGTAGATGATTTTAAAATCATGGTCAATGTTGGAAGAATGACAGGAGTCGATCAGTTGTTCTAGAATAAAGCTTCGCACACACTTCCTTTCTCCCTTGTAAAACCATGCTGGAAAATGTTCTCGTATCCGTGTGAAAAGCGTCCTCTGGCTACGGTCAATATACTTTGTTCCACAAGAGCAGGTGAACTGATAGATGCACATGGAGGCGGCCAGATGGGGGAGCTTATCTTTTACAGAGGTAGAGAACAACTTGCGGCTGGTGAACGTCATATGTAATTTTGCTGCAAAGAACGTCTTACTAACTGCCTTAGAGAGACGATTTTTGAGCATATCTGAAGCTTGATCACCTTTGAATTCCAAGTTCATGAATAAGGCTTTCTTTGGAACTGAGTCGGTGACCAGTTTAGACTGCTTGTCTTTCGTGTTGCTGTTAATAAATCGGTTTGCGTAACTGTTTTTCTGCGATCGTGGCTTCTAGGAAATCAAGTTCTGAGTCAACGCAATCAGAACTACAAATATTTCTAATCCTAAAGCAGAACGAATGAATTAGGTTCCTTTTCCTGGAGATAGGCACCCAACTATAAAAATTAGTTAGCTGTTCATTCCATGTACGTTTCCGGTGCATGGATCTTTTGAGAGATCCTTCATTGCGTCTACTTAGGCACACATCAAGAAAGTGAAGGCTTAGTTCAGATTCCTTTTCTACGGTGAATTGTAAAGAAGGATGGCAGTTGTTGAATGCATCATCTTACGAATCTCTCGTCTTTATTACGTGATTCTCTTGCCATTGTATGCATATATTTACTTTGTTTAAACTTGAACTTCCTGAGTAAAAACTATATAAGCGTAATTTTCTGAGCACTGTTCACTAAGTCCGAAACCTCCTGTCAACTGGTGTCATGTACAATTTGCAAGTATGTTAAAACTTTTCTGTACATCAACTTAATAATAATTTCTTTAGGCTGTAAACAACAGCTGGTGAAAAGCCAACGAAATAAATGATAGTACAGTATGGTTTCGCAAGAACTAATTTTCTTTCTTTATTCGGAAAATTAACTGTAATTAAATCTTTTCAGACTGAACACAAGTGTCCTCATGTTGGCTGATTGGTGAATTAGCGTAGAATAACTTCAAATTGGTCTGCTATTTTTTATTTATATTCCTTCCGTCCTATGTGGAACATATGGCTTCGAGCTTGAGATCTGAAGTCTCAGTAGTGGGGTTAGTTTCGTTTTGCGGGGCTTTGTCGCTAGCTTCACTCCCAACCTCCTGTTTTTGCTGGATTTACTACAGACTTAGCGAGGCTTAGGAGTGCATCGGTCGGGGACCGAACTCCAGTAAACGTGTGTGGTTGGCGAGCCTTCTCCTACAACTGAACCATCGACGCATAATCTAAACAGTTGTAGCTTTGATAAACTCAGCATACAGTCATTCAGTGTTTCTTCAGTTACTTTTTTTTCTCAATCTTGTTCAGTTCTGTTCTGAGAACACCACACTTTTTTCAATGTGTCATCGAACTGGTACTGCATTAGTAGTATTGTAATAAAATAAAAACCACCATAATGCCACTAAATAAGTTTCTTTTCTTCCTTTTTCAGAAAGAAACGCTGACGTGGCCTCACTGGAACAGGAGGAAGATCGTTTGGCCAGACTTGTTATAAGTGACGATAATTAGCTTGTACCCGGTTAAATTCAATCCTGCCGTCGTTGAAATAAAGATCTCCCTCTCGTCTCTTCGTCTTCTTCCTTTTCCGTTGGTTGTGGTTGTTGCTTGCGTGTAACAGTATTATTGAACGATAGGAGATACTCACTGACTAAGAATTTTTCTTGGCTTCTCTGTATATTGATATTCGGTAGGTGATCTATTTTCTATTCTTATACTTTATGAAGTATCATAGCTAGTTATGTCAATAATGTATTTTTGCCATCCTCAAAGACCTTTGGAAACTACCCATTAGGTCCTGTTGTTTCGCTTTGTTTACACTCACCGACTCCTAGTGTCATCTTAATGAGATTTAAAGTGCCGATATTTGCATCCTATTCAAGACTGGAAATAAAAGGCAGACAATCTTAGTGCAATGCTACGTTAGTTGAACCGCTTCTAACAGTGTTCTCTGTTCATAGTTTCAGTCACTTGTTATGAAAAGTTATAAAAATTGCCTCAGCTGTAATTATTCTCAATGTTAATACTGCCAATTTGAATCTGACCAAATGTATCCTACATTGCTAAGGGAAATAAATGATCAGCTGGCTTTTCACCATATGCCTCTCAGTAAAATGGTATTCAAGTGTTGGTTTGTAGGGATTTGATTGGTTACAGGATTTTCATCATGAGCTGACATTAGTTAGAGAACCACTGGAAAACCTGGGAGTACTGGACAGCTGTTTCATCCTACTTTGGGACTCTTCAGCAGTACGCGCCCACCGGGATTCGAACCCAGGACCTTCTGGTCACAAGGGGAGCTCGTAGACCATTGAGCCACTGGGACCCGATCCAAGATTCTTTTGAACAACTCAATGATGAATAAGGCTCATGAAGTCAATGATCCAACTGAATCCAAATCCTTGGTCTCTTGACATGTCTATCCCTAGTACACAATCGTCGACGATGTCTTTAGCTTAGCATAATTCTGTTTGTGATAAATGCCGGCCAGGAGAGGAATCCAAAACTTTGAGAAGCAGTTCGAAACAGCTGAAACAAATAACGAAACGAATATTCCTTTTCGAAATCAACAAATAAAGTGAATGAAGGTCTTTCTCGATATACTCTCAGTTTATGTAACATGTAAAATACAAATAATATGTCTAAAGTGTAGAAATCCATCTATTTTATTTGATAAGAAAGTTCATGAAGTTTGTGAAAAATGTATAATTATAGTCCGAGAATTTTCAACTTTTTAAGATGTTCTACCAAACTGGTAACGTCTGTACAATTCTCCACTGCTTCTTCTTCTCCCCAAGGTACTTCCATGTAACGTGTATCCCTGAAAATAAAAGTAATACATTCGTGAATATACACAACAGAATTTTTAAGCAGAACGATAGATGATTCCATCAAATTTAGTGTTTAGCCTGATTGTTCAAATTAACGCTGACTGATGTGTGATTCTTCATGAGGATTGAAGTATATTGAGTTAGAGAACAATTGTATTTTTCCATCCAGTGTGAAGTGTATCCTAGCCATTTGCAAATTAAGTGCAACCTCCTCTCTGTATTCCTTGACAACTTGATCTAAGCTTCATGTTTTAATATTTCACAGAAAATACCCATCCAGACATCTGAAATGAACATTCCCTGTTGCTACATTACGACTGGTATTCTCAAGCCGCCCATTGTTCTTCAACAGCTCCAAAGATAAACCATCGATTTGACCATTTCTATATGTATCTGCCAATTAACTTGCTCATGTGGAGCCAGCGAGATATATAGGTCGTTCAGGGAGTGTTTTATCCAAAAGAGTCAAAGAACATTATCCCACTTGGCTGCGAAAATGTACTAGCAGATCAATAAGGAGTGCTATAATTGAACATATAGTCAACATTGGTCACTCAATATGCAAGGAGAATTCATTCAAACTCATCTACAAAGTCAAAATAAGCCTCCCGAAAACGGTAGGTAAGCTTCCGTGTACTTTGCATTGCCGAGGCCTTAGCGATCCGGATAGAAAACCCTGATTTATGCACACAGAAGAAACTTCTCCACTCCCTCCTTCCACCTTGGGTATAATTCCAAGTTCTACGACTTTGTTAATAATGTTTTGTTTCCTTTTCTGTTTTTTGGATTTTTGTATGGCATCTTAGTGATAACATCTTCCTCTTAACCAACCATTTATTCACTCTTTCTACCTATTACATGATTTGTTTTCTGAACACATGCCTCCATTATCATCCTACTTCATATTACGCAACCCTTGTCAATACTTAGCAATCTTCACCCCACCCCACCAACCATAGCTACAATTTTGATTATTCATCACATTTTAGAAACATTTTGATGACGTAAACAGTAACCTAACTAATTTTTGTTTGACAATCCTAATGTACACACACACACACAAAGTAATTATATATGAATGCGAATGTACAGCTAAGTGAATGAATTCGCCGTAAAGAGATTCTTCGGTGAACTTTGTTATTCCTATTTTTCATATTTCATCAAATTTCCTTTTCTTGTTGATGAATATTAAAGCTAATATTTTGCAAAATATTCGGTCTACATTACAAACGGTCATATTATTTGAAACAGATTGATGGAAACGATAGCTTGGAGAATTACATGTTTTGCTCTGGTTGATGTCTCTTAGATTAATCTGAATTTTCTTAAGTTAACTGTTTAGGAAGTAAATTGTTGCTGTGTCACATTGTGCATGTTCACACACTTCTTCAGTCGGATATCCATGCTTATACAGAAGTAAGTACTTACACTATAGATAGCTGAATCGATTTATGACACCAGTCAACTATAATACGCTTCATATTTCATTGGTGAATATGTGTATCTGTACTGTTTAAAATGTAATGAATGCATTGGAATGATTCAGTGTTTTAAGATTGTTCTTAATTCCATTGGTTGGAATATACCTTCGACAAGCATAAGCATAATATACCCACATTCTTGGAAGAGAGTGTCAGGAGTAACTTGGCCACCAAACCAGTGTGGGCGAGGCTTAGAAACTAGTAAAATGTCCGCTGAAGACAAATCTCTATCTGGGTAGGTGATCTCAGAAATCGGTCTTTAACGTTACTTAAATGAAACAAGAACAACAGATTGTGCAGAATAAGATAGTATTATTGTTTATTTCGTCAGCTTCTCATCAGCTGTCTAAAGCCTAAAGAAATTATTGAGAAGTTTACATACAGAAAGATTTTAACTACCTGTAAATGTTACATAATGTCAGTTGAGAAGCCGACGACGAGTAAAACGATGGCACCATCGTTTTTTAACACAAACCGCTGTTCTTGCTTTATTCAGATTCATCATAAAGGGGAATAAGTGTATGAAGTTTTCAACGTTATTTTCAATGGTGGCTAACAAATTAAATGAGCTCAAAATCCTTCAATTAAGGTAGGTAATGAGGATAACCTTGATGACTTGTCACAAATACCGAACTGAGTGAAATAAGCAGATAATCATGTAGAAACAGTAAGACTCACTTGAATAAAGGCTCTCCACTTCCAGGTAAATCATAAGCAGATTTTATGACGTTCTTACTTGAATCCATTATTTTCCCAGTACTTTGATTTACTGACTCCTTCCATTCGCCTATTAACGAGAAGTATGCTCAAATTTATGTCCAAAATCATATGAAAATACCAGTTTAAAAAATAATACTAAGTCGTCTATGAACAGTTTTTACGTTGACATAAAGAGCGGTTGTACAGCATTCACAGAAGATGAGGATGTCGTGAATGGATATATCTGAGTGTCCAAACAATACCTGGGGTTCCAGTGAGAAGTCGTGACCAGTAGGGTGCAGCAGGTCGGCTGTGAGGACAAATACTCGCCGAAGACATTGGCTAGGGGTCACGCTATGTCGTAAATTGGCAGAAGTTAGAATTCATGGACCATTGGATCGGGTCCCAGTGGCTTAATGGTATACGAGCTCGCCCGCCTTGTAACCAGAAGGTCCTGGGTTCGAACCATGTCTGTGGTGGGTGCGTACTGCTGAAGAGTCCCAAAGTAGGACGAAAAATCTGTCCAGTACTCCTAGGTTTTCCAATGGTTCTCTAACTAATGTCAGCTCATGATGAAAATCCTGTAACCAATCAAATCCCTACAAACCAACACTTGAATATTCATATTTGAAACTGTAGGTAAGAACAACAATGCTAAAGTCACTAAGTTTGGCACTGGAGTATTAAACCACATACATTATTTATACACATCTCAAACACAATTAAGTCACAAAGTGCGAATGAAAAATCTCTTAATTTGAATGATACACGAAACATAAAATTGTCATTACTCTAAGGGGAAGAAACCACTTTAACCAATGAACTTTAAGGGATAGTGTATGGATATCGTCATAATGTAACAACAGAAAACAAGGGCCAAGGCAACAGATCGTTTATTAAGGAAAATCAACACATATTTATAGATTTTAATGTACATTATTGTAGATTATTGTTAGTAGAAAATACAGTCTTTTGATTAACTTCATGCATTTATTCCCCTTGATGAATTTGAATAAAGCAAGAACGAAAGTGGTTTGTGCAGAATAATATGGTACCATCATTTATTTCGTAGGCTTCTCATCAGCTGCTTACAGCCTAAATACATAATGAGGTTTGCGTACAGAAAAGTTTTAACATACTTGCAAATTTTTTTACATGTTGCCAGTTGACAAAAAGTTCCACAGTAAGTGAACAGTGCTCAGAAAATTGCGCTTATATAGTTTTTACACATGCAGTTTAAGTTTAAACGAAATAGATGTATGCATACAATGGTAAAGGAGTTACGTAATAAAGACGAAATATGAGTTAGATACAGAGTGACTAATAAATTAGGTAACAATGTACTGAGTTCAACTCAAATCATAGAAACAAGAGACAAGCAAAATTACAGAATATAAAAGGGGGTGAGGTTAAAGACAAAGATTACGTAATCAGATGAGAGAATAAAGACATTCAGTTACCAGGGCAAAGAGAGATTAATAACTGCTTCTTTCTGAACACATAAATCTGGTTTCAAGCGTTTGATAGAGATTGCTTCGGCAAACTTGAGAAGAATGGAACTCCTTTGTCTATTGATAATTTTAAAGGATTTCTCGATTTCTACCTCATGACCCGTGTCGAGAAGATGTCTAGTGATAGCGCTGCTATAAGAGTTTGTTCCCTTGAGACGTTTTAAATAAGTTCATGGTCTCATCTGATGCAACCTCCTTGTTCACAATGATCCCAATCAATGAAACCATTGAAATCATCTGTCAACATTCTGATCTACTTCCACTACCAGAGTCAGAATTCAAACGCCTACTGCTAATGTGTACCATGGATGTACAATTCCAGTTTGATAACACTCTTTACCGACAAATAGATGGCGTAGCCATGGGCAGTCCACTTAGCCCTGTTCTAGCAGATATCTTCATGTCAAACCTTGAGAAAACAAAGTTGAAGCATGCAATCGATCAAACAACTTCCTATTGTCGATATGTCGATGACACATTTGTAGTATGCAAAAACGACAGTCATGCCTCCTACCTACTCAGCCTATTCAACAAAGCACATACAAATATTGTATTTACCATGGAACATGAAAATGACGGGAAGTTCCATTTCCTTGACATCGCCATGCAACGCCTAGAAGATGGTAATCTCCAGAGGTCAATTTACCGAAAACCTACATGGAATGGACAATACTTACATTTTAATAGCTTTTGTCCAAATAGCTATAAACGAGCACTAGTCAAGACTCTGTACTATAGAGCAAGGAGAATATGCTCTACAGAGAAACTAGAGGAAGAATTTATGTTCCTCGAAAAGGTGCTGAAAAATAACGGTTACCCTCAAAGATTCATAAACAAATATGGAAGATGAGAAGACTCAAATACCAAACAAATCACAGTTGAAAAAAGCCTGTCTTCATTCAACTAGATTTTAAAGGTGAAAACATTGCAGAAATGGTCAACAGAAGACTGAGAACATCACTAGCCAGAGCCTATCCTGCAGCTAAGTTGGTTCCCGTCCATCGAACAACATGCTCTTTGGTGCAGTCAAAAGTCGATAGATACCCTTCTCATGTTAACTCCAACTGTGTATACAAATTTACGTGTATCTGCGGGAGCAGTTACATTGGGAGAACAGAAAGAAGGGCACACCTCCGATTTTCTGAACATGTGCCAAGAAGCCTACGTCTCAAGGGAACAAACTCTTATAGCAGCGCTATCACTAGACATCTTCTCGACACGGGTCATGAGGTAGAAATCGAGAAATCCTTTAAAATTATCAATAGACAAAGGAGTTCCATTCTTCTCAAGTTTGCCGAAGCAATCTCTATCAAACGCTTGAAACCAGATTTATGTGTTCAGAAAGAAGCAGTTATTAATCTCTCTTTGCCCTGGTAACTGAATGTCTTTATTCTCTCATCTGATTACGTAATCTTTGTCTTTAACCTCACCCCCTTTTATATTCTGTAATTTTGCTTGTCTCTTGTTTCTATGATTTGAGTTGAACTCAGTACATTGTTACCTAATTTATTAGTCACTCTGTATCTAACTCATATTTCGTCTTTATTACGTAACTCCTTTACCATTGTATGCATACATCTATTTCGTTTAAACTTAAACTGCATGTGTAAAAACTATATAAGCGCAATTTTCTGAGCACTGTTCACTTACTGTGGAACTTTTTGTCAACTGGCAACATGTAAAAAAATTTGCAAGTATGTTAAAACTTTTCTGTACGCAAACCTCATTATGTATTTAGGCTGTAAGCAGCTGATGAGAAGCCTACGAAATAAATGATGGTACCATATTATTCTGCACAAACCACTTTCGTTCTTGCTTTATTCAAATTCATCAAGGGGAATAAATGCATGAAGTTAATCAAAAGACTGTATTTTCTACTAACAATAATCTACAATAATGTACATTAAAATCTATAAATATGTGTTGATTTTCCTTAATAAACGATCTGTTGCCTTGGCCCTTGTTTTCTGTTGTTACATTATGACGATATCCATACACTATCCCTTAAAGTTCATTGGTTAAAGTGGTTTCTTCCCCTTAGAGTAATGACAATTTTATGTTTCGTGTATCATTCAAATTAAGAGATTTTTCATTCGCACTTTGTGACTTAATTGTGTTTGAGATGTGTATAAATAATGTATGTGGTTTAATACTCCAGTGCCAAACTTAGTGACTTTAGCATTGTTGTTCTTACCTACAGTTTCAAATATGAATATTCAAGTGTTGGTTTGTAGGGATTTGATTGGTTACAGGATTTTCATCATGAGCTGACATTAGTTAGAGAACCATTGGAAAACCTAGGAGTACTGGACAGATTTTTCGTCCTACTTTGGGACTCTTCATCAGTACACACCCACCGGGATTCGAACCCAGGACCTTCTGGTGGGTGGGTACTGCTGAAGAGTCCCAAACTAGCACGAAACAGCTGTCCAGTACTCCCAGGTTTTCCAATGGCTCTCTAACTAATGTCAGCTCATGATGAAAATCCTGTAATCAAATATGAATAGTTGAACATAACGAGTTCATTTGTAAATAAGAGGAAACACCTATCTACTAATCGTCCTGAGTTCGAATACCTTCACTTTTTTGGTCATATTACGCGGATTGAATTGAAGTGTAGAACGCCATGCTTTATAGACGAAATAACATGAATTCATTTTATTTGAATCAGTCATTGTTCTTCTGTTCTCTCAATACATTGGAAATTTTTATGACAAAAGACAGTTTTCTATCTACACATTAATTTTCTATTGTGTTCATTTGGGGGGAAATGTGGAAGGTGAAAAATAAAAACATTACCTTCATCGTGCAGTAACCTTGAAAGGTGAATTATCTAATAAATTGGTAAACTGAACGCCATTTGTTCACAACCACATACCACTACCATACATTCATATGAGATTAATTCATATTTCTACATCACCTGAAATCATTTAGAGAACTACTGGAAAAGCAGAGAGTACTAGACGGTTGTTTCATTTTAGTTTGGGAATCTTCAGTAATGTGCACGAAATCCATGACGTTCTGGTCACAAGGTGACTTCGTAGACCCGTTCAGTCATTGGGGGTCAATTATGGCTCATAAATTCCAAATCCCACCAACTCGCGATATATTTAGTGCAACCGCCAGTTGATGTCATTGGCGAGTTAACTGCCCTCTTCCATGATTTGATGGACCCGCCTGGACACGACTACTCACCTAAACCCCAGGCAACTTCCTGTATAAAGAAAAAGGTCGATGATCATCAGAAGTTGGAACTCATGAGCCATCGGATTGGATCCAAGCCACTGAATGGTCTTTGAGCTCGCCTTGTAACCGGGAAGTCCTGGGAGTTCTATCTCAAGTGGGTGACTGCTTCTGCAGAATCCCAAACTGAGATGAAATAGGTATCTTGTACCGTCTGGTTTTCCAATGGTTCTCTAAGTTGTGTTAGCTCGTGACTAAACCTGTAACTAATCAATTCCTTGGAAACCAAGACTTGAAAATCCCCTAAAATACTTGGATATGACAACGAAGATAGGAGACGCAATGGATAGAAAAATACTTCACAAATAATCGACATCAATGAAATGGAAACATTAAAACGATCAATACCAATTTTATTTATTTGTTTATTTGCCTCTAGCTTACCTTTTATGTGTTCGACTAACAACAAACAATGAGGTTGAAACATGAAACCGTCAAAGAAACAATGCATTCGCACATACTTCAGAGGGTGTTCCAATGGAAAAGGGAGAAGTCTGAAAGTATTCGAAACATACAATCCCTTTGTAAATTTAGTACAGTTAAGAGAAATGAGGTAAATGAAATGGTATTATATAATCATGTCATAAACAACAGAAAGTAAGCCATATCAGTAGGCGATGGCGCGTTTTTTGAACATCCATTAAATTATTTTGAATGTATATGAAATCGGAAGTCATGTTGTAACGGTAGAAGACAAGAGACTTGATAAAGGAATGTTTTCAAGAGTTTGGTTTGTAAGGATTAGATTTGTTTATACAAGTTTGCCCACGGATTGATATCAGTTAGAGAACTACTGAAAACCAGCTACAGAAAGTACTGAACAGCTGTCTCCTCAGCCGAGTTTGGGGATCATCAGCAATACGCACCCACTGAGGTTAGAACGCAGGACCTTCCGGTTACAAGGCGAACTAGCTCATAGACCATTCAGCCACTGGTATCCAATTCAGTGGCCAGCCCATGAATTCTTACTTCCACCAATTCGTGATTTAGCGCGACCACCAACCAATGACATCGGTGGGAACTCCATCCTCACACTTGACTGGATGGACCTCACTGGTCACGAATTCTTGCTAGAACTCCAGGAAACTCTGTCCTGTAGCAAGTCACGAATTTTTAGAAGTTAGAATTCACGGGCCACTGAGGAATTGGGTCCCAGTGGCTGAATGGCATACGTGCATGCCTTGTAACCGGAAGGTCCTGGGTTCCAACACCAGTGGGCGCGTACCGCCGATGATTCCCAAACTAGGATGAAACAGATGTCCAGTACTCCCTGATTTTCAATGGTCCTCTAACTCATATCAATCCGTGGGGAAACTCGTATGGTGTCTACATATATAACGAAATTATGTACACCTTATCTTCAACGCACCTTTTGCACAGATCTTCCATGCTGTGATACTTATCGCCTTCCTTCATATTGTTTCTTTGTGTTCCTTTTACGTCTCCCATATATCTCCACAACGTTGTATTATTTGCCTTCTGTGACATCCAATGTATCCCCCTGCTATTTGATGTTTTTTATGCCGATGAACGTCTCTTCATATACTACTGACAAATCTTATCAGTAGCACACCACAAATTTTCAAACTTCTGTCTAACAAACAATACAATCACACTAAATCATTTTAAACGATGAAAAGAAACCTAATTTCCGTCCCCCGTTTACGAATGGCAATCAGCTACAACTTAAATCACAGAGTGTTATGAAAAAAGTTGCAATCTGTATCAAAAATTGTCCTTTAAATAACTGTGGGGAGCAAGAAGTATACGTTAGACTGATAGAAAGACCTTAGAAGATCTGAACTTTGTGATGATTTATGAACTGAGTAATGCGGTAGACCATGAGGAGCGAGAAGATAGGAAGGCTTTGAGTCGACAAGAAGATTCTAATAAATCTGGGACTCGCGGACGATTTTTGTCGAATGTTACACAAACTCGAAGATGCACAGGGGAAAATCAACAAGTTGGAAGAACAAGAAGCACCAAAGACAGGACTTCAAGTGAACAGAGAGAAGACGGAGGTGATGAAGATAACCAATCAAAAACAACAATAAGCACTAGTCACTATCGATGGCAGTCGCTTCCTTGACTTATTTGGGCGACATCGTCTCAACCACAAGCGGCCAACCAAGACTGGAAAATTACTCTGAAGTCAGTGTGGAAATCTACTGCACTGAGTATAAGGAACAAGATCCAGATTTTCAACACTAATGTCAAGTCACTGTTTCTAGATAATCGACAGATTTCGTGTGCGTGTCGTCAAAAGCATTTCTAAGAGCTTGTTATAGACCTTCACCAAGTTTCTTTCGTTCTCTTAATACTGACGATGAGACAAGCAACAAGAAGCTCTAGAGCAACGAACCAGTCAAGAACCCATAGTCCAACAAGTATGCAGAAGGAAATGGAGATTGATAGGATTACAGTGAGGAGACTGTTGAGAGACATCACCGAGTAGAACCTGAATTGGGAAACCAACAGGTGGGCGCTGGCCCAAGTGTGATATTGAGGAAATGAAAGCTCTTGGACAACCGTGAAGCCAGCTAAAACAAAAACAGAAAATAGTGTGAAATGGAGATGCGCTGCTGAAGCTCTTCGTAGCAGTTGGAACCAGAGGGAATAATTATAGTAAACACATCCCCATGTTCTTAAAACCCTTTCATCAACATTTACCAGTATTATTTACAAGCACAGGCTTATTAAAATAAATACTATGTAATTCCTTAAACCTATGAACCTGGAATAACTATTGTCATTTTGAAAAAAAAATAATATAGTCAACAAAGAATGTTACTCACCCATTTATATAATCATCAATTTGTGATAAATGGACTAATGGTGGAACACGAATATTCGATGATTTCATATCAGGAAAATTAACAACACTCGTCATTCGTTCAGCAACTTTCATTCTACAATATAATATGAACAATATGAAAATTCAAATTAAATCAGATAATTAGTTTGACAAAGAAGTAAAGCAAACAGTATTCACAAAATGAACTTTCGAATACCAACAGTGTCGGTTGCTTAACGATGACATCATTCAGATAATTAATTGTTGTCAAATCCACGGAGATTCTGACTCACTAACACATTCACTCAATACCTAAATTTGACCAATAAAACAGATGGAAATCTATTTGAATCTAACACAATTGTTGGAGGATTTCATCATGAGCTGACATCGGTTAGAGAATCATTGGAAAACCACCTGGGAGAGCTCAACAGCTGTTTCGTCATCCTAGTTTCGAACTCTGCTTCAGTAATACACACCCACCCCACACACAGGGTTCGAACCCACAACTTTCTGGTTACAAGGCGAGTTGGCTAGCTCGTAGATCATTCAGACACTCATTGGGAAACACCCAATCCAATGACCGACCCATGAATTCTAACTACACTAGATACAGCTATGAAACTTCTTTTGTGAGTACCGACTTACATATACACACACACACACTATAAACTGATGTCATTTTACAGAGTTGATGAAAAAATGAAGAAACAGGCTAAAAAGAATGGATCGATGACGCAAAGAAGTAGACACACACACATCTACCTACCGTTGTCTATAACCAAGCTGACGACAATCACGACCATATATGCACAAAACATCGTAAACAAACAATGCATGTTTTCGTAATCCAGTCTGAAAATATTAAAACAAACGAGTCAAATACAATAAACAAATAGTTGTTCAATGGAAGTTAACATACATACACTGGACAGGCCAAAATACCTAAAGATTTTTTTCGTAGATGTTGGCACTCATCAACAAGTCCATATCTACTAATGTCTTCTTACAATTCCAAACTAGCATCACCAAGTGCTCCCCACGATTGTAGCCCCTAGATGATTTACGGTTTTTCCCCCGATAATCCCAACACCACTTAACATCAATTAAAAGTACATCGCGTGATAGCAAGTTACCTAGCTTCGTTACCACATTGAAGATTTGGCTAGTAGATTTTAGTCAGTATCAGCCCTAAGAATTTGAAACATGACACTGAGTATTCCCTACTTACACCTTGCCACTCCAACTGAAAAAAAAGAAAGTAAATGCCGCAATTGCTTTCAGTAAGTTTTGATTATCAAGTGTTGACTTCGTTATCACGGAAATTCCTCAGTATTTTAGTCGACTCTGATACTCTGGTGTATTCATCTATTAACGAGAGCGTAATATATGCAACATGTGATTCGTCACCCCGCCCCCCCCCCCACACACACACATCTTAATCGGTCATTGAATGAATCAATGCGAAATTCTGTGAATCCATTTCAGAGAATCACTAGATTCAGGCTTACAATTCTTGCTGTTAATCAGAGTAGTATACGGTCACCCCCTAGTCTTTTTAACATTGAATCGTCTTGGTTATTTCTTGTGAGTGTTCCAAAAATTGTCACTCGTTGACCAAAGGTGTATTCATCAACTTGTGCTCTGTGTCAGCTGAATAACATTGTCATATGGATTCTGATTATATCTTCTTTTACAGATCATGACTGTGTTTTACAGTTATATGAAACCTTGAATTCCTTCTAATAACAGGGTATCCCCTCTCAACACCCACCCCACCCCCACACATATATATACACATATGTTCTGGTAATATCTGAATCGTGACAACTAATACTAGCTTGCAGAATTTAATGAACATTGAAGACTTCAAAGTAAATCAACTGTCATCCCAAAGAGTTATTCACAGAAAAAAGCATACCTTTGAACAGTACTCATTAGTTGCTTGTCCCCAAATCAAAGTACCAGCTGGAATTCGAGGTTCTAAGTCTGGTATCACTTCACTTAATATTTCCCACGTATCTCCATCTGTTGTGCACAATTTATCCTAAAGTAAGTAAAGTAGTAATAATAATAATAAGAAGAAGAATAGGAGTTTATGAAAGGATGAATATTATTAGAATTAGAACAAGAGCAAAATATATCCCGTTCGCTGTGCAACGAACTGCGTCACCTCAACACTAGATAAATTCAGTCTGTCAGTAATACTATAACTTTGACAACAAACGCTAAGTGATATTGAAGAGGAAAGCAAAATAATTATCAAGAACCCTCTATTGTAGTATCTTCCTTATTAATATTGCTGTAGTAACCATTTTGACCTAGTGATGTATATCCGTGTGTACAGTGGACCACACAACTCTCAACCAACAGTTGTAATGTGTTACGTCTACCGATGACATAATAAAATTGCTAATTTGTCGGCTTAATACTGAAAAGTAACAGGTAACTCGACTGAAGACCAGGGACTCATTACTGATCAGTCTATCCTCCACCCCCTTAGATTACACAGAAATGAAAACAAGACAAAGGGGTCGGTGCCACTGAGAACAATTCTATTTTACTAGACAAAAGTACATCATATATAAGTATTACACACCTCGGGAAATAAAACTAATAAATTCAAATAAACATATGTAAAAATTATATTTGTAAAATCTCAGCGTTATTGAAATGAGTAATTCCAACGTTTCGTCCGGCAAAACTGGTCCGAACTTCTTCAGGGAAATTAATCGAAATTTAAATAACAAAGGTCCATATATATATATATATATGCGTCGGTGGCACAGTGGTTAGGACTCTCACCTACCATGCACATGGTCCGGGGTTCGATCCCCTGCCGACACACACCTGATATCTATGGTCGGCCTGCAAAATTTGGGCTACCGATATCACATGCTGAAAATTCCATACATGTACCAAAAGATACGGTGTGGAATCAAGCTGTAATAAAAAAAATTACCTAAAGCCTTCATAAAAAGATATTTTAAACGTGAATCGAAACCTATTGCTAAGACTTGGGTTAGTACAGTGGCGAATCCTTACCGCAAAGCAACATCGGATGAGATAAAGCGAATCCTTAACCATCACCACACAATAGTGTATTTTCGTGCAACTAACACCTTACGCTCATCACTGGTAAAGGTTAAGGATAAAACAGAAGAAGACAACCAACAGAATTGTGTGTACCAGATCAATTGTGGGGACTGTGACAGCGTATGTGTAGGAGAAACTTCCAGACAGGCAAATATAAAAGTGAAGGAGCATAAGTATCGTCTGAGGGTGATTCCAAAGTCCTCTGCAGACTTAAAGAAGCTAGAAAACAGATCGTCGATTCCATTGAACTCGATAGAAACGAGATACAAGATCGACTTTGACAGGACTAACGTTCTACAGAAAGGTTTTGGTTCGTATAAAGAAAGACTGATTGCAGAAGCCCCACAAATATGGGTGAACTCCAAAAGTTTGAACAAACGTGGAGGTGTGATGTTAGCTGATGCATAGGAAATCCTTATTAATAAATAAAAAATGGATATGTATCACTAATTATTAATACTTGGTCAAAATTCTCGACTGTCCATATCTTCTTATGGAAACGTTAAGAAATGTTTTACAACTGTTTACCCACACACACATACACACTGTTACAAGTGTTTAACAAAGGTAGACCAATATTTGTAAGTCCGAGGTCAAATTTTGATCATAGCTCATAAAATTTTGTTTATTATACTTTTTGAATGACTCATGATTGGACAAATTTTTAAAAACAAGTGATGTTCCTTTTATATGTAAACCTCTGTTATGTTAATTTCGATTAATTTCCCTGAAGAAGTTCGGACCAGATTGCCGAACGAAACGTTGGAATTACTCATTTCAATCTCGCTGAGACTTTACAAATATAATTTTTTACTCATACAATTTTGTTTATTATATTTTGATGCCTGTTTCATGACTCATATGATTGGACAAAGTTTTTAAAAACAAGAGATGTCCCTTTCAATATATATATATATATACATATATACATATATATATATATATATATATATATAAACCTATGTTATGTTAATTTCGATTAATTTCCCTGAAGAAGTTCAGACCAGTTTTGCTGAACGCAGGAAACGTTGGAATTACTAATTTCAATTTCTCTGAAATTTTACAAGTACAATTTTTTTACAAATGTCTACTTCTCATTCAGCGCTCAATTATTTTGCAACTTATCCGGTCAAATCTTGAATACAGTTCATATGAATCATATGTACATATTTGTAGGTCAAGTAGACCATGGTAGCTAAAGGTTGAATTCGATTGTTTTCTGTACAGATAGTTTGGAATGCATGTGTTTAATCCAAAGTGTTTCCATCATCACCTTTAATAACCTTGAATTTAAATTATGTTGTGGTGGTGTGATACAGACAGTGTGTTTCAACGGAATATTATTCTCACATATTCCCACAGTTCAATGCTACATTAGCAACAGAATACTATGTATATTTGGACATTCTATTTCATGTCATTTAATGCAAACCTAAATCACAAGCTCGGTGATTGGTTGAAGAATATAACCTGTATATTATACAAATAGCGGTTTGATCAATTGAAAATATACCTTTTGCTTCCATGTCTTGCCTTCTGCTGTTACAATATGAATTTAAATCGAAAAAGGTAAATCAGTTTCTACAAGGTTATAGATGCTATTCTTGAGGAAATCTGTAATTCGAATAATTTACTGTTATAAAAATGATTATTGTTGGTAGGTAACGATAAATTATTCTTTAACTTAAGAACATCGAAAATACCATTCTTCTTTCAAATAGTCAAATACTTAATTCGTCTGGAATAATTCCCACAAGTAACGTTGGAAGTTTACCATCTGAGCAGTAAAAATAATAACAACAACAACAATTCGTTATGAACAACTCACCTCATTTCTGCTACCACGTGAGTAAACCAACATCGGTTGAGCAGCTTTGAATAGGGAAGTGAGCGATGGTTTACCACAAACTAATCCAATATGACGCCCATTCCAATCCTTCTGATCATTTATATCTTTCTTATTTATTGAAGTGAGTCTTGTATGAGGACAATATTCACGAGGCAAAGGTATTCTACTGTCCTGTGACAAACACATGTGTATAAATTAATGAATAATTTAGATAGTACGCTTACTCTGTTCCTGAATGATTCATGCATAATTCCTGTACTGTTATTAAAACAACTCTACCATTGCACCTCACCTCAGTATAGTAAACTGACACAGAACAATTTCTTATACTACACATTTATGATGGCAAGAAAATTGTTAGTTAGACTATCTGAGGCACTCGATCTGTTGACAAACTGATCTTATGCGATAAACGATGACTGGAGAAGAAATAAAAACTTTAAGTCGCAACAATATCCTAACCAACAGACCAAAAAATGAAACAGTTAAACAAACAGTTACCTGGTAATCATTCACATGACAACCAGACAACATTTTGGTTACTGCGGTGAAGTGTAGACTAGCTTTGTAAATGCCCCTCTTATCTGAAATGACAAAGTTTTAGGCTTGCAATACGAGGATAGTTTCACAAAGTGTTACTGGTATTCAAACTATCCTCAAAATCTCTAGTTATCATTGATTAACGTTAATTAAAAGTAACTGAACATCCTTGGCGTCGGTGGCACAGAAGTAGAATACTCGCTAACCGCTCAGGTGGTCCTGGATTCGATCCCCGGCCGACGCACTCCTTTACCTCATTAAGCCAGTAATAAGACTGGTAAAGAGGGAAGGTTGGGCATGAGGCTAGCAACTCCATCCTATAAAAACAAATCCCACTAATACCGAAATGTCAAAGCTCTAGCTTGAAGCCCTATGTTCCATTGGGGAGGTAAAGGAATAAAAAAAAGAACATCTTACGTTTAAGTTGTTCAATCGACCAACGACCACATCCACACTCACACACGCGGACAGAATACAGATTATGTACATGAAAAAACTAAATACTCTTTCTCGATAAACCAACTCTAAATGAAATAATGCATTTCAAAATTAGTCTCATTCTACTCTGAGGAAAAAACCAGAATATTGAATAGGTCCGCTTAGAAATTCTCAGTTTTCTATTTATCTACTAACCTATTGCCTAGAATGTCCGGATTAAAAAGCTAATCTGTAGGGCTTTTATTGGTGTGACATCAGTTAGAGAGCCATTGAAAACCGTGGAGTACTGGACAGTCGTTTCTTCCTAGATGGAGGCTCTTCATCAGTACATATCCATCACACACACCCCTACCGAGGATCAAATCCAGAGCTTTCAGGTTACGAGGAGAGCCTGCAGAATATTCAATCATTGGGACGTGATCCAATGGGTCATGAATTCTAAACACTTTTCGATGACACTGTTTGGGGAATTGGTAGAAGGTAGAATTTTCAGGAAAGGGGCCGAATCGTCAACGGACTCGCCTCGTCGTAACCTGATAGTTCTAGGTTCAACCCTTGGTGAAGTAATGGGTGTGTACTGCTAAAGAATCACACAGTAGGACGAAACAGCTGTTGAGTACTTTCTGGTTTTCGAGGATTCTCTAAATCATGTCAATCTGTGATCAGACTTAAGAACAGTGTATATTAATTGGCCAACAGTTAGTACAGCATTTGACATTCTATAAAACAACCTTGAATAATTTAATAAAAAGTAATAAAGTAGACAGAAGGATTTATAAAATTAACTAAAATAAGTTTGAGAATACAAAAAAGGCTTTTAATAATCCTTCACATTTACACAATTCAATGACGCACTAAATAACAACACTGGTAGTGATGAATGCATAGATGAATAACAAATTCAACTATACCGTAATAGACAGCATCTCCATAGGGAGGATTTCATACACTCGTGAATGATTACTATCCCTTCATATATGGACAAATATTTCAACAGTCATAAAAGCTGTTCAGTTGTTTCGCTGATTTCGGAAAAAATAAATAAATAACAACACTATAAAAATGGAACCACTAATCTACTTTCACTGGTTGGATGATTTCATCATGAGCTGACATCAGTTAGAGAACCAGCCACAGGGAGTATTGGACAGCCAGCAGTTGTTTAGTCACCTTAGTTTCGGACTCTGCTTCAGCAGTATGCACCCATCCCACCGATAGGGTTCGAACCCACAACCTTCTGGTTATAAGGTGAGCCAGCTAGCTCACCACCATTAAGGCACTCACTACGAACCACCCGATCCAATGGTCAACCCATTAATTCTAACTTCTGCCTATTCACGATATAGCGCGACCACTTCGCAATGTCTTCTTCGATGAGTAACTGTCCTCACCTTCAACCTTCTGTACCTTATTGCTGCTCACGGCTTCCCACTACTTCCCTACTTTCGATGAAAGGTTAGTTAGCAATTAAAAAGTTCTTCATTACATCAGATAGCTATGAAAAAAATCGATATCTAACCTTCAGAAAAGAGAAACTTTATTGATTTCACAGTCGATATCATCACTACCAACCAACGTTAGTTTTCTTGAAAAAGTGAAAACCGGGGAAACGTGGACAGCCCTCTTTAGTCCTAGTTACGAGCTCTTCAACGACTAACACACATTCCTATACCACAGATCGACTCCAGAGGAATTAATTTTCGAGGAGAGAGAGAGAAGTGACACTCAGTCACTGGGGTCAGAATCAAGCGGGTTCATGAACCCGAACTTCTTCCGGTTGGCAGGAGATCACCTTACATTTCAATAGTTCTCCAAATGATGTCATGAATATGTGATGAAATCTATCTTGTCTGCCTCTGTTCGAGGCAACATTTCAATTCAAATCTACAAATTGCATACCTTACCATTCATACATTGGATACACTCAAAAATCCTGAGTTGTTAATCATTCCGTTAAACAAAACTACAATAAACCGAATAATCTGCTTTTCCTCTTTATTTCTTGTGCTTGTTTAGCTCGTATACTCAAGAAAATTCATATGCCCTTATTGTATTCAAAGATACGTCATTCATTTTTGTTTTCGTTTTTTTGGCGTAACTGAATCCACAAGTTATCCTTTCAATTCATTAGTGAATCCCTCTGTAGGACTAACTAATGTCTAGGAATTCATCGTTTTACTATTATTATTATTGTTCCCTTGGGTTCCTAGTGGAACATAGGGCTTCAACTGCACGCCTCCACTTGCTTCTGTCTTCTGCTGTACTTTTCACTTGCATCCATATTATTCCATACTGTTTCAGTTCCTCATCACACGATCTCCTCCATGTCACCCTTGGACGTCCCACTCACCGCTTCCCTTTCGGGTTCCACTCGAGCACTGGCCTGACGCACGATGTCACCCAACAGCCTCCTCATCGAGTGTCCAATATACCCCCACTTTCTCCTGTATATTTGTTGAGCGATTGGTTCTTGCTTTGTTTGTTCCCATAGTTTCTTGTTGGTGATTCTTTCCGGCCATCTGATCTTCAGTATAGAACGAAGACAGTTGTTGATAAAGGTCTGCAACAGGCTGTTGGAAATGCTCATTCTTTGTGACCCGCCAAGTTTCTGATCCGTATAGAAGAACTGACTGACTTGACGTTTGTATTGAAAATCCGAATTTTGTTGTTGATGCAGGCTGAGTGACGAAGATTTCCAGATTGGTTTCAGGTTGATGAATGTGTTTCTCGCCTTCCCGATTCTCGATTCGACATCCTCGACCGTTCCTCCTGTAGTTGAGACAATGCTCCCTAGATAAGTGAATGAAGTAACCCCTTTCAAATCCCTCGCGTTGATGGTGATTGGCGCTGGATGTTGCTGCGCCTGCTGTTGGAATTCATCGTTGTTAGGTTATATTCGTCATCCAGTGGGATGATCCATTCGAAAACTGACTGGAAACATGATCTTCACTAGGTAGGCCACATATATGCTATAACCAACGAGTACAGCATACATATCACAAAACTTAGAAGATACACCACTTCCTGCTGTTTGACTACCGTCAACATCTAATACACAGGTCAATATGCCTATCACTGAATGATACACAGACACACACACACACAAATCGTAATAACTTACAGCTAACAACAAATATTGATTCAATTTGAGTCTACCTCCATCTGTCATTGGCCATGGTATTTGTAAACGTTTTTGCGCTGGAATCTAAAATATTTTGAACAGTAATAGAATCAAAAATAATGATGCCATCGAATGTGATTCAAACATGTAACTAACTAAAACCAATACTTTGATCGGACACTAGTTAGTAACTAGTGCCTGTAACTGTATGTCTAGTCCTGATCTTCGGTGCAGACTGAATTCTATCAGTCAAGCTTGCACTGTGGCCACCATGCCACTAAGTGACTTGCCATCATGGTGCACTTTGAAATTTTGATATTAGATGGTTGGAAGCAATCGGCAGGAAGCCCTTTGCTTGAACCTAGGTTTCGTGCTAGTTGGCACTCACCAGTCAGTCAGTAATGCGTATCTGCAACCTTGAAGGAGCTCATGTCTCTTCTGAAGAGATTCGAACCCACGTCACCCAGTGAGCGCTGCAGTCAGAGACATTACCAGCCACTGAGCTATTCAGGCTCTCTATTGACCTCCTGTGGGACTGTATTAGATATTTTTGATTGAACACTAGTCAGTAACTAGTGTAATGTGTCTAGTAATTTGTTTGATGTAGACTGAATTCTATCAATCAAGTTTGAAATGTGGCCGAAATCAATGACAAATTTCAAATAACTGATCCCGACACTATGTAACTCTCAAATATTCTTGTATACACTGAACATACTATTCCACTAAATGATAAATTGAATACAATAATATAAGACGGAAAATAGCCACCACACTCAAATAGCATTCGAACAGTAATCTCTCTATAACTAAGTCAACGAAGTCTTAACAGGGAGTGATATCCGTCTGAGATTAAATTTGCAACTTCATACATAGATGAAAAAACACACAGTAGAAGCCATTAGAGAAACAGTTAACATTAGCCACATAAGCTTTCTTCCTTCATTGTTCCATATCTCCACACATAAAGACTGTTTAAACACCGAATGTATGTTAAACAAGAAGATGAAATGAGGTACCTGCAGCCAGATGAATTACACTTTTACACACATTGCATATTTCATATACCAAGCGAGATAATTACGAAGAAATTAGGAAAATCAGTTCAAAGAACTTTTAATGCTGGCGAACTACACGTATTATTCTCTACACGACCGATGGTGCTACTTCGACTGAAAGATGAAGTACCTAGACTAGCCACTTCAAACTGTATCTATCAATTCAACTGCGATTGTGGAGCGAGTTATATTAGCCGTTGCTCTAGGAACTTGATTTTTCGTGCCAGCTCGAGAACATATCCCACTATGGCTAAGTAAAGGTGTAGTTAAAACTATTAATAGCTTGATATTAGACCATCTGGTGCAAAGCGGTCACAAAGCCAGCGTAGAAGAATCCTTCTCTATAATATACCGGGTGCCTAACAAACTACCAAAATCGTCGAAGCACCGCATGCTCCAAACACCAGAGGCTATTGCAATTCGCCTCAAACAATCAGTGTTCTGTGTTCAAAAAAAACAAGTCCAGCCCCTACTACTGCCCTGGCCCTCAGTAGAGACTATAAACTCATGAATTTGTACTATTACCTTTCCTAATTCTTCTGACATTCAGTTTATTTTATGTTGATGCTGTTCAGCTGTAATCTATCAATATTAGTGATTTGATGTTATTTAAACATTAATGTCGTTCATAAGACTAATTCATTCATTCATTCATTATAATGTATATATAATTGTAGAACCTGATGATGAATTTATCGAAAAGAGTACTCTTTGTTCCGTGTCCATTCTTTTGGAAACTTAAATTATCTTCAAATTCGTGGAAGTTATTCGTGTACTCAAAACCACTAGCATAGTTTCACATTATGTCTCACATTTAAGGCAAAGTAGCAACATACTTCAAGTGTCAAGTATAATGTACATCTATAAATCTTTGATAGCAAACGAATTGCATCATCATGCATTAAAATGCAAGCTGTTGCCACGCATTTTGTACACATACGCACACACATATACAAAGAAATCCTCATAAAATGCCTTCCATACACCTTCATCAATATAATTATCTGAAACCCACAACAAGTAACTCATAAAAATGTCTCTGTGACAATAAGTAATTTGTGACAGAAATTTGCAAACAATAAAGAAAGAATTGGTTGGAGGATTTCATCATGAGTTGACATCAGTTAGAAAATCATCGGAAACTAGTCACAGGGAGTACTGGACAGCCAGCAGCTGTTTAGTCACCCTAGTTTTGAACTCTGCTTCAGCAGTATGCACCCATCCAACTGATAGGGTTCGAACCCAGGGCCTTCTGGATACAAGGCGAGCTAGGTCGTAGACCAATCAACCACTCACTGGGACTCACCCGATCCAATGGCCAACCCATTAATTCTAACCTCTGCCAATTCATGACACAGCGCGACCACTTCGCAATGTCTTCTTCAATGAGTAACTGTCCTCACCCTCGACCTTCTGTACCCTACTGCTGCTTACGGCTTCCCACCTAGAAACATCAGCCCATGATGAAATCCTCCAACCAATCAAACAGAAAAAAACCTACAAATCAATACTTGAAAGAAAAAACAATTTACAAATTACCTGCCATTTCATCAAACATGAATGTCGTAAATCACTTTTTCTATCTTCAACAAGGTGTGGATTGTTTAAAAATGTGATCAATTTAGACAATGCAATACACTCACGAGTTGTAATTCTGGAAAATAATGTTCAACATTCAAAGATGGTAGAATTCCAAAAAGACTATTTATTCATTTTCAGAAACAAGTATATTGTGTAACAAGATCACAGGAGTCAAAATCCTCATCCTCTTACTATTCCATTTGTCAATTGCATTGTAAAAAACCGATTGAAACTCTACATGTTTACCATAAAAAAATACCTAAAGTAGTAGCAACATGGATGAGTATGTATGCTCCACCTACATTTCAAGCAGCCATCTTACGTATCACATTCTCCAGCAAACAGTTAATCCAGTTTAACGTTAAGGATAAGATACCGCTTTTGGCCACTTCAATGTGTATTTATCAATATACTTGCTCGTGTGGAGCAAAATTTATCGGCCGTACGCAACGTCAAGTCCACAAATATATTCTGGAACACTGTCCAGCTTGGTTAGTCAGAGGAGAAAAGAAGTACAGTAGCAGCTCCATCCTCGAACACCTTGTCATCTCTAGACATCGAGTACCCCTGCATGAATAATATGCTTCGCAGTGCTACACAGAGTCCTTCAATATCTGAACATAACTGAATCGTAAGCTATTCGGCATCTGAAACCAGACCTCTGCATTCAAAAGCGATACATACATTCTCTCGCCCTACCGTGACCAGAGTAAAGTTCTTACTGTAATTTCGCTTTTTCTTTTTTTTATTACGTAAGTTCACTATTATTAATGTTATGACTACTATTATTTTATTGTTATTATTATTCCCATCACCCATATTTTATTATCCCTCTATTACTGTTTATTAATAACATTACTTTTTCATACAGACTTTATATAAAAACACTTTATTGTCTTCTCACTAGTTCCTGTCCATTCTACACGAGCTTATTGATTAGTCATTATTTCACAAATATTACGCCATGCCAACTTCTGCCTCTTTTCTAACCTCGAATAGTCATCCTTTCTAGGTGTCACCATACCTTACGCAATAAATTTTCCGAACAAAGTTTGCTAGTGTCTGATTGGTCTAATGATTTCTTTGTTAAATATAATTACGATTGTAAAGCAGCTTATGAAAATGTTACGTCGAAAAGGGAAAATTTCCTTCGCTGTTTACGTCTTTTTCTTATGTATTGATTATTTTGTGAAATCTTTTAGCTGAAAGGTAACTATTCAAAACTCTACTAACATTTAAGAATAAATACACTCACCTTTCATTCATATTTTGCATAAAACGCATGAACTTTACATCATTTTCCATGATTTCACTTCGACACACTTTTAACACATCAGTCTTTTGACGATTGGATGGTGACATGACATTTTCCAACTTTTTATTGACTTGTGAAAGGTAATTGATCATGAATTTAAGTGGATTTGTCTCCTTTGTATTATTTAGTTCAACATCATAATCTGAGCATGATTCTTTGTCAGCATCATCTTCACCGTTATTCAAAGATGTTGTTGTCTTCTCAGCTTGAAATTGATGTGACTTCTGAGAACCACTTGGTGTATCATGACGCTTGCTGACGTGCTCAGGAGTATTTATTACAGATGACTTTGGAGCTGGTAAGCAGCTGCCAGCCATTGAAATCAGAGTTGACCTTAAGCTTTTGCATATTAAAAATCTGAATAGAGACAAGATAACAAGCTTCATCATATGAAAGATATAAGGTACGATGTTAATCTACTCAAAAAATAACAACAAAACAAATCTGGATTCATCGAATAAACAAGTTCTCGGAGATCGTGTCAGAAGACATCATCACTCTTCCAAAAGAAAAAAAGAAGTCGACTGAATATGTGGTAAGAGTTGTCTGCTAGCCAAAATTGATAGACAGCAATTTGCGTCAATGTTTACGTCCCAAATCTTGGTCATGAGAAAAAAACAAAAACATTGCCTAACCTTGAGGAGCTCAACAACCAATCACAGCAGACTTAGCGTGGGTGGATACGATTCGCAGACACATCAACGGACTGTCTAAGAAGCGGCAACAAACAGATGGCAGAATAACCTTCAGTAGGGAAACAACCAATCAGAAGACGTTGCCTCTCTGCTAACAATAACGAATAATACTGTACATAAAAATCTATAAATGTCTGTTGATTTTCTCAATGAAGGATCTGTTGCCTACCCTTGTCTTCTGTCTTTTCAAGCATACATAGATATTTTTGGCACAACACTACCTGAGTACTAACATCATTGGTCGACCAGTAGCTATAATGAATATTTTCAATCCTTTCCAGAGATAATATGGTACATCATTCATCAATGTGTTATAACTTCATTCATACCACATTAGTTCCCTTTACTCAATCTTTGGCAAAGTCAGAATAACAAATATTATGGGGAGAAGAGAACTTATTCAATTTTCTGTGCTCTAAATTTCCAGGTTTAAGACTTGTTGTGTATGGTTAAGTAGTTTATGGTATCATTGTCAAATGCGACTGACAAGTCATCTGAATTCGTTACAGGATTTCATCATGAGCGCTGACATTGGTCAGAGAACCATTGGAAAACCTGGGAGTACTGGACAGCTTTTTTGTCCTAGTTTGGGACTCCCAGGTTTTCCAATGGTTCTCTAACCAATGTCAGTGCTCATGATGAAATCCTGCAACCAATCAATCAAATCCCTACAAACCAATACTTGAATATCATCTAAATTCGATATTCTCTATGTTTTCTCCACACATCACTTCCATAATCTTTGTCGGGGTGCAACTGAAGCTTAGAAGTAAACAATTTGATGTTCGTACATTCGTACTACTACAGCCACTACACCGATTGCAAACTATATTGACATTTCATCTGCTGAATTCGATCAACGAGAGAAATAAACATCAAAATTATCAGACCTCAGCACTGCTATATTAATACAGATTGGAAGCGTCTCCAGTGAAAAGGAATGTCGATTTCAAAGTGATAAGTAAGATAATCACAAAGTAATAATGTTTGATCTGATGATGTAAAGCCCACCGATCAAAGCGAAACTACACAGAGGACTTCAACAATTGGAAAGCTTCGCAAGCAACAAGTATTCTTTACCTATTATTATTATTATTATTATTATTATTATTATTATTATTCTAAGAATACACCTAAGAAATGTGACCAGTCAAGGTAAAACACAATACACCACCTCCTTTGTCTTCCCACCAAAAATTAATAATAACTCGACAAATAACTGAGGCCTAAATAGACTACTCGACACCTGACTGACTGACTGGTTACAACGTAAGACTTTGCACAAATGTGCAGCAGTTCAAGTTGCCACACTCCCTCCATGTAGCACACAAAGCAAGAGAAGACAGTAAGCAGAGGCTCAAAATAGAGATAATAAACAGATATACGAGTCGAAAAGAATAGTAATAAGAACAATAGAATTTTATTGCATATTATAAATTATAAAGAGTGAATGCATCTGTATCAGCTATTGTGAACGATTTTCAGCCGTATCACCGATTGTCTTCACTCATCATTGGGTTTTACTATCACGAGGACACCAACCAGTCAGGAAGTCTACACCTACCCACGTGACTACCTTAAACTAACTGTTACGGATTTCACTGACTGATGAAGCCATGTTTTGGTCTGACTACCACTAGCTAGCTCTTTTCCCACCTGATACAGCCTGCGAAGGAATACGATAACTAGGCATGCGTAACACACGTCCTAACCATCTCAATCGATGTAACTCCTCTCACTACTGAGTTCTCCTTCTTCCCTAGCACTCGATCGATGCTTCACCTCAATACTACTCACCCTATCGTGCCACCTAACACAGGAGATAGAACTCAGACACCTATGATCAAAGACAGATAGTCGGTCTTTCCATGTCTTCCACTTTCAAGGACCATGACTCATAACCAGTCATGAAGGAGAACAGAGAGAACTGCTGAGAAGTACACACGACCTTTGGTCGATGGCCAGTCTGATATCGCGTCTACACCAGAGACTGCGTTAGTGGGCATATACTGAGGTAGCCTTCTGCATCGTTGCTGAGATTTCGTCAGCGATCAACCTGCTGGCATTGGCGGATGCAACTTCCTCTCTAAATAAGTAAAGTGGTCAACACGCTCCACCAACCACTTCACCCCTTATCTTTAAGCTAGTAGCGAGTCGATGTAGTCCAGTCCTGTGGAATCATCTTACATTTGACTGACAGGAGCGAATCGCACACCAAGCATCCGACGATTGTTGCTCAAGGTCTTCAGCGTCTTCACTTAGGAGGAAAATGTCATCCGCATATTTTAAGTCAACAAGACTATTCCATAGTAATAAGTCATTCCCTGAGTCGCTGAAGTCAGTTAGGGTTGATTCCATCAATACATCTATGATGAAATTGAATAGAAATGGGGACAGTGGGCATCCCTGGTGGACATCACTGGTTGGTTGTCATCACTTCAGATGACAACTCTTCATAGGCCCTAACCTGGCTGCATAAGTAAAAGTAGAGTGCCTTGATCACATCACAACGTTTCGTTCCAATTAGACAGTTCATCACAGTTCTGATTTATCCATCGTACGCTAAAGAAACCAACTATGAACACTTGACACAACTCAGCGAAAGTTTACATTCTCTGACCCTCCCTAACGGAATGCACATGTACTTTATTAAAGTTTATCTTCAGTCACTACCACGCGCACTATTCTTATACCTATGTGACAATTAAATTTCAATCCTAATGGACAACACTCATACTCAGCAAAATAATTTCACTTCATGAAAGAATTCATCAGTAACAGAAGCTAGAATTCATAGGCCATGACATTCGCACTCACTAATTGAATGGATGAGCTGCTTGCCTCGTAACATGAATATTCCGGCCCGAATCTCTGGCTGGAAAGTTCGAATTGGTGAGGATAGTACCAAGCTGAGACGAAACAGATATCCAGTGTTCCCTGGCTTTCAATACTCCTATCTAACTGATGTCAATTGGTGATGAAACTCACCTTGAAATTAATTATATCTCCACAAATCACATTCTTCAAAATAATTTAATCACAAACAAATTTCTTACACATCCTTCAATCTTTCACCTTCACAAAATGATTGACAATTTTACCCCCATTTTTAAACACAAAATTAATGTAATTTCATCAAACACACTTCTATGGACTAACTTTTCGGAGTTGGCTGGTCTGCTGGTCACAGGTTTAACAATGAAAATCTCTTCAAATAAATATCCCATTGCATAAATAAGACCAGTAGTGAATTCAGTGAATGTATCGTATAATTTCATGAGAAAATGTCCACCTGGTGAAGAAAACAAACAAATTATTTAGATTATTATTAGTGTTAGTCAAGTCAAACTGATTATGCCTCCTATTAATATAAACACTAATAAACAGTGCAAAAATTAAAATAGGTGGTTAATGCATCCTCACCGTTAGAGATCCTATAAGACTACTGACACGACTCCACTTAATAATCCGTATGACTTTTGTTCCACTCACTTCATACCTGGTTGACGAAAACTAAAGCTCTATAAAGACAGCAAAGAACGAGCAGATGCCATATCATGTCAAAACGAAATTCGATTTTGTAATCGTAACAGACCAGTCTTGTCTACCTTATCTAAGTTATAACACACAAATGCTGAATCCTGCTCACACGAAAACATCACTTTACACAAAGGGTGCTTAGAAAAGGTGATTCGCTTACTCTTCATGTAGTCTCCTGCAACGGCTTAAACATAAACATCACTAAGGCAATCAAACGTTTGATTGTGTTTCGCCTCTAATCAATCTATGCTTGGCGCGCATACAGTACCTACTTTTTATGCTATCCCATCACATCTTCATATTCGAGAGAGCGATGAGGATTGAAACAAACATAATTCATACAGCCGGTTCATTTTATTAATTTGAATAAAGAAAGGAAGAACGAACATATCGGCAGGATAATACAACCTCGTCTCAGTTCGCGGATTCTCTTCAACTGTCTACATCCTTAATAAATCAATTATAAGTTACAAAATGGTATCTGAACATACTTTTTCCACAGAGACTTCAAGTTATAGATAGAAAGCATAGGTAAATTAATTCCGAAGATGATGCAAGTTGACAGTTATTTAGTGTTAAAAGAGTAACTGTTTATATAGTAATTAGACAAGAGGGTGGAAATTCGATTTCTCTTGGAAACACGGATGGATGAACTAAAGACAAAATACAAGATAGAACAACAGAGTGAATTTATACATATTACGGTGGAGAGTTCAGGAAGGTGGGTGGGAGTGAATCGTGAAATAAAATTATAAATTAGATAAAATAAAAAACAATTAGATCGGGTCCCAGTGACTCGATAGTCTACGAGCTCACCTTGTAACCAGGACGTCCTGGGTTCGAACCCGGTGAGTGCGTACTGGTGAAGAGTCCCAAGCTGTCCAGTAATCTCAGGTTTTCCAGTGGTTCTCTAATCGATGTCAGCTGATGATGAAATCCTCCATCCAGTAAAATAATTTAATTTAGTAGATTTGGAACTTTGGTAATGAGCTCAACTCAGTGAGTGAAAATCAAAATCAAAACTGAGTGGAATGTTGAGCAACACCAGAACAAGACAGAACAAAAACACAAAAGTATACAAACAAAACAATTATGGTTACCACGGTAGTGAAAGATTAGTCACACTATCTTTCTGTGTGCCCAGAGTTTATACACGCACACACACACACACACACACCACCAATCTTCTGAAAAGCAAGCCTAACTGAGAGTAATTTGCTATAACAAGAGTAAAAGTGATGAAAATAATTTCCTTTTCCATTCCATCATTCAAATAGGTGAAGTGAATAAAATGGTGTTTTTATCAGTAAATTTAGAAGGGGTCATCAATCATCAGATCACCAGATTCTGCACACCAGAGATTCATACAGTATATACGCGCAATGAAAAATGTTATTGTGAAAAACTATCTGAAATCCCTCTGGCAGCGTAACTAAAAGTTAGTTGTTGATGTCTCATGAGATGCCTTCAAGAAACCGTGTAAATTCCGTTTCTGTTCGGGGTCACATAGGCCAGAATAATCGGTTGTCGCTATAAATAGTAATAGTGATGGAGACCGAATGGTATCTTGCATTTCACTAACACTGAACTTCACAAGGTTATTTTCTTAAGGAATATTTAGCAATAATTTTTCAGCAATTGTGAAATGGATATGTACGCATTCGTTTAAAAATTTGATATTATCTATGGAAATCATATCAGTTCAAGCTAATATATATATATATATATATATATATATATAATTACTCAGTGTGTTGGTGGTTCAGCACATGAATATTCGACAACCACAGGTGGGATTCAGTGTTCCATCCCCACAAACACACTCCCAAACCTCGCTTGACCGGTTGCAACTATCTTTAGGAGGGAAGGTTGGGCATGAAGCTCGAGATCCCACTGAGTATAAAAGAATGACACCAGCTCAAAGCTCGTAGAACAATGTTTTACTTATAATGCGAAGGAATGAAAATAATAAGATGTATTAACGCATATGATATGAATGCTAATGCCACGAAGAAAACTGCAAGCGACACGACTCTAACACTTTAATAAAGCTCGTCTCATTGTTAATTCAAACGTCAACTACCACACTACCTAATTCTTGAAGAAGGCAAACCGTTGAAATAGAGCATTCAACTACTAAAACAAGTCAAAATATTTGAGTGCCATGCTGAGTATGTATCTGTTTTAAGCTATCTTGACAAACCAAGCATCCACTGGTATGTTTGTAGCAGAATAACTGACCAAAAAACTCCTACTGAAAAACAATTTTACTAGTTGTTTGAATATTTCATCCAATTTCGTGGTCATTGTCTTTTTTTCTTTGTCCTGTATATCATCCGTCTACCGCTTACGTATCTCAATCTAACTTCATCCTTCCTATCTGCCTTCCTTCTTAGTTGGTTCTTATTATTACTTCACTTTGCAGTTCTACGACAGTGTACTGTTCATAATCATGAGCTGTTTCACAAATGAGATGTTGTTTGAGTGAATTCTAGATGACGCTGTGGAGTGACCGCTTCACCGTATGATATCATGTGATTATATGAAATGCCCACCACATGAACTCGCGGATATATTTCATTGGCTTTCAACAAAACGTTATGCAGTCCTTGAGAAAAATGAAGAACAAATATGCACCTTAAGCTGAATATGGGGAGGTCAAAATTAGTGGAAATTACTTAGTATTCATTTATTGTGTCGGTCGTGTGACGAATATGATTATTATTTCCTTTAGTTCCTAGAGGAACATAGGGTCTCAGCCGCACGTCTCCATTGCGTTCGGTCCTCTGCCAACGTTTTCACCTGGCTCCATGTCTGCCCGAATGACGAATATGATCTTCACTTTCTATTTTGAACTGAATAATTGAGTACATGTAATGCAACTAATCGGCTTTTGTTTTACAGAAATCATTCCTGCCAATATTTCATCATGAAAACCCACAACCTAATTTCTTCACGTCTTTTGTTAATTATTGTTGTTTAACTAGTGTCATACGCCCATGGGTTAAATATTTTTTCGTGAGGTGGAAATGTTGTGAAAGTTGCAAAATATAATATTAACAGTTTCTCGACCTTCACATTAATGAGAGTAGTCACATTTACTCAACACTTCGTAGTTAGTGAAGATAAACAAGTATGTAACTACAACCGGAATCACCTTATAATTATCTCCCAGCGTGTAACACAAGTTAGCTAGTCTTTAAGTGAGGTGAAATGTTAGTCGTCCTGTCATTCATTGGTAAGGTGTAAATCGTGCTACCAGAAAACACATGTTAACTTTAATAATTACATCTACTGATGTCGGTGCAAAACAAGTAGGTGTTCTGGACAGTGTAATCATAAACGGACTGAGTTTCTACATTGTCAGGTAAGTAAGTATACATAAATTTCAAACACATCAGACAAGGCTCTGCAGTACTGAATGCGTCTGTCAGAATCTACTGACTGGCCCTATTGTTCCTACTTCAATCACTTAGGTCATAAAAACGAAGTCTTCCTTATGACAAAAACTTCGAGGAGCATCGTGTTGTGCTGCAAAGTGTCTTTCTGTACTTTGCTACATCCATACGAAATACTGCTATTATCAGTAAGTAGCACTAGTAGGAAACTGAGTGAATATTTACGAGTTCTGATATACAAGACGCTGTCATTGACATATGACGCAAATATAAACTCCTCTAAGCAGCTGAAACACTTATCATTTAGGAACAATTACCACTTAATTATTATGAATACAAAAGGTTGCAGCGTAAACTTAAGTGAACAAGGTGAAGACCGTAATTCTCCCTTTTGAACAGAGGCGGAAGAGAAATCTTATTCGTTCCTCTTTCCGATGAATATGAATCATGTGGCAAACGTTTTCGAATAGAATTGATTTTCTGCTTGTGGTAACCTTAAGCTACCATTATATCAGTTTGGTTAAAGCCTGTAATTCCTCACTGTAACTCCAGACTGGTGTTTTAAGCAGTATAAGAATGGAGGTATGCCTATCAAAACCTCAGCCTTTTCGAGCCTAATTCGTATTTATTTGTCCTTTGAGATCCTGAAAAAGATAATAATAATAATAATAATACCTGTCTAAAAAACCCCAGTTTTGCTATTAAACTACTCTCTGTTTTCATTACAGCTCACTGATTCATAAGAGATTATTAAAAGGCTCACCTACGACATTGAGAAGGTCTCCTTCGGCACTTTGGAAAACAAAATAAAGTTTTCGATCCACTGGAAATTCTCCTGAATTGGACTACACAGTTATTTTTTCCGTTCTTCGAGTGGATCAATAGCTATGGGTGTGCGGACACTTCTGACAAACGCAGAGGCATGTTTGGAGCCACTTCAAGATTTAACAGCACTCCTTATGATTAGAATACCAAGGATATGCTGTTCGTGTAAAGTAACTACAGGTTTCTGAAGAGCAGATCCAACAACAGCCTCATTTAAAAAGCTTATTTCTGTTAGTTTCCAAGCCATCACTAAATAAACTAGACAGTGATTAGGGTATCACAAAATATTAGCTCAATTTTATTATTATTATTACCTAAATATTGTGACATAACACAAAAAGTATCGAACTGTGATGTATTCGAAAAACCACCTCCGCCAGTATGTGAACTCTGTTGTCCCTCTAACGGATATCATTAAGGTAAATGTTTGCGAAGACTAAATGCAATATGATCTCAGTGAAACTTTTGACCTGCAATAGTTATTATTATTATTATTATTATTATTATTATTAGCAGCTGGAGTATGTAGGTAGGTGTCAGCTAGCATGTATGTTCAAGTTGTTTTCGAAAATCATCTCACTCATGAAGACTACAATTTTGAGATATTCACACTGGCATCACTTTATTTCTGAGAGAAGATCTATTTTTGTAAACAAACTGGCCTAACGATGATGAGAACAGAAGTGAGACAGGGGAGATACCGACATCAATCCATTATCCTTGACACAGTCGCTGCTACACTTTAGAGAATCATTGACATAACGGTGAAACTGTCGAACATTATTCACCTCTAATAATTTCTAGAGTAAATGCGAGCCATCAGGTCGAGTTACTATTCCAAACTTCAATGTCTCAGTCTTAACACCTGCTAGAGATAAGCCGATTTATACAACTTCGAATGACCAATATTCTGTTAAATTTTACATGGATTGCAAGTGTTACAACTATGATATACAGCTCTGGGGAAAACTCGAGGAAATATGCAGGTAACCATCAATTCTTCAGGCAGATTGTTTAGCAGGGATTATCAGAGGCAGTAATTGCTGAATGTATTTGATTCGTTTTGCTTCCTGTCTGCTTGATCTAATTGACAGGTTATATGACATGTGCGAACATATTGTATATATATATATATATATATTAGCATGAAATGATATCATTTTCATAAACGAACGGTTAGATATCTCTTTCACAATTACTGAAAAATTTATCACCATACATTGCTTAAGAATAAAAACTTCTGAAATTCTGTGTGAGTGAAAAGTGAGTTTTCATTCGGCCCCCGTAAATACTGCTCTTTATATGGTGAATTATCAATTTTTCTACGTGTGTTTCAGAACATAATTGGAATTTACGGTATTTCCAATTTACATATCATGTGATCTATCAAGTGAAATTCAGCTACACAGCCTGCAGGTTTTCTGATAGCTTTCCACTTATTATAAATTCAAGAATAACATGTTTGAATAATATAATTCTCGTCGGTTCAAAGAATCTGGTGATCCGATGATTGATGACTGACCCCTTCTAAATTCACTGATGAAAATAACTAATACATCATGTGATTCTGCATTTTATTCATTGTACTTAGTAGAAGGCTGAACCACAGTTGGCAGAGAAATTCATTTCTTTAACTGTCAAATATATGCCTGTGATTCCTTTAACAACACATCTCCACTCTCTTCTATTTTCTGCTGTTCTCTTCACTTCAGCTGGGTCCCCAATTGTCCATAATCTCTCATCTCCTCCTCCCCAAACGATCTTCTTCATGTCACCCTCACACTGACGACATACTCGTGGCTTCCTATTTGGATTCCACTCAAGTGATGACCTGCATTGTGCGCTATGTCATTCGACGGTCTCCCCAGTGTATGCCCGATCAATTCATCTCAATTTTCTCCTACATATTTGTTGAGCGATCGGCTCTTGGCTGGCTTGTTTTCAGAGTTTCTTGTTACTTATTCTTTGTGGCTATTTTATCTTCAGTATGAAGCCAGAGAAGGGAGCTGTTGGTTAAAGTCTGTAATAGTATGTTCGAAGTGCTTTTCATGATGAACCAAGTTTCTGACCAGTATAGAAGAACTGACGGACTTCACATATGTGTTGAAAATTTGAATCTTGTTCCTTATGCTGAGGCAGATTGCAGAAGATTTTTAAACTGGTTTCAGGTTGGTGAAGACGTATGTTGCCTTTCCAATTCTGTTTGGCTCTGACATCTTCATCCGTTCCGCCTGTAGTTGAAACAATGCCTCCCAGATAAGTTAAGGAGGTAGCCTCTATCAAATCTCTCCCTTTGATGGTGATTGGTGCTGGTTGTTGTTATCGTTGGTTGGTTAACTTCATCACCTGGAGTCCTGTCTTTGCAGCCTGCTCTTTCAAGCAGTTTTCGCCCTTTCTTATTGTTTTATTCTTTCATTTTTTTTGGATAGCAACATAAAGTCACGCAAATTTTTAACTGTCTTTTCTCTAACCTACTGGCTGTACTCTCTTCAAAAAGAAAATAAAAAATATGTATCATGTAGGATTAAATCTTGTTTTAGATAGAATAACGTTATGGGAAGCAAAATACTGTCGACAAATATTCACTTAAAGGTTATTTTCGGGCAGCAAATCATATTGCAAGAAATTTTACGCTGAGAATTCTGTATTGCATTTAAACATAATTCCCAGAATAAAGCTGGTATTAATATTATTATTGTTTTATTCCTTTACCTTCCCAGTGGAACATAGGGCTTCAAGTTAGAAGCTTGGGCGATGGTAACACCACCGAGCAGTTTGTTCAATTCCTCGTCGTTGCGGATGGCCAATTGCAAGTGACGAGGGATGATACGGGTCTTCTTGTTGTCGCGCGCGGCATTGCCAGCCAATTTGAGTACTTCAGCGGCCAGATATTCGAGAACAGCCGCCAGGTAGACGGGTGCTCCAGCACCGACACGTTCAGCATAGTTCCCCTTGCGCAGAAGACGATTTACACGACCAAATGGGAACTGAAGACCAGCACGAGCAGACCGAGTCTTTACGTTCGCTCGAGACTTCCCACCTTTTCCGCGACCACTCATGATTGTACGTTAGAGCAGAGAAACGTGTAGCAGTGGGATTCATTTTTATAGGATGGGGTTGCTAGCCTCATGTCCAACCTTTCCTCTTTACCAATCTTATTGCTGGTTTAGCGAGGTAAAGGAGTGAGTCGCCCGGGGATCGAACCCCAAACCATGTGAATGGTTGGAGAGCATTCTACCTACCTCTGTGCCACTGACGCACATTTATTATTATTATTAATATTATTATTATCAATTTTAATTTTCAACTAGACTTGTGCAATATGCTATATGACAAATGGAATTCCACACTTGGACCGATGAGAATCAAACCAGGAATAACCACGAATATCTAATCACGACTATTAATTAGGCATATAAATAAGAATACAAGTGAACAGATAGACGCACTATTTAATAAACTCACCTGGTCTTAGAATCATCAATGCACACAAACACTGACATACAAAAAGTTGTTTACATAAAATTTCTTGAAAATTGTACTGTCCCGTAAAATCGAAGCTCTACAATATGCAACAAACACATTCAGGTATCAGGTTACAGTTTTGAACAATATATATTCAGCACAGATTATAAAAGTTTTAATACTGTGTAGAGACCATATATATAGCTGACAAATACACCATGTCACTAATTAATCCGAGTGTTTCATGCGTCTATTAACTTAGATGATATTCAATACAATTCTCTTAGAATATTCTAATTCAATTTGTTTAAATTCCTCATTGAACACAACACAACCTGATGTTCTATAACAGTCTATCAATGAATAAATAGAAACTATCATTTTACAATCACCCTGTGAATTGTTAATATTAGACGGTCGGAGGCAATCGGCAGGAAGCCCTGTCAACACTCAAGGTTTCCTGTTAATTGGCACTCACCAGTCAGTCAGCAAGTCGTATCTGCAACCTTGAAGGAACTCATGTCTCTTCTGACATTTGAACCCGCATCACCCAGTGAGCGGTGTAGTCAGTATTACTCTTTTGTCGTCTAGCAACATGGAAGAGGTTGTTACTTTCAGTTGTTCAGTAGTTTTCCAGTGTGTACATGTTATCTGAAGCCAAAATGATCCGATGACTACAAACACCTTTCCTTTTAAAAATTGAATTGGATTTTTTGTGCATTCATGTTAAAAATGACTGAAGCACAAACTACGACACAGATTTAGTTTATATGGAACACAAAATTGATAACCACAAATATTAATTATACTGTAAGTTAATCGACGAAATTGTTGCTTACATATATCACACCAGTAGTTTAGATGTAAGTGAACTGGCGTGTTCTGAAATAGTGATCATTGATAAGCAAGTAAACTCTGGTAACAACACATGAATATTGCATCGTCAATTAGTAGACTGAAAGATATGTTCTCACAAACCCAAGAAAACTCTATAAAGTGTTAACCAGTGCACTCCGATGAGACAATCATTAGGAATGAAAATCTCTACGTCCTAATACACCATACGTTTACAGAAATAATCTTGTCAGGCAGATATAGGTGGTTTTCTGAATCAATGAACAAAAATAAATACAAAACTAACTCCCAAACCTCGCTGTTGTTACGGAGAAACTTATCTTCATTAAGAGTTCTACTGAGGAGTCGTGACCAGTGAGGCGCAGCCAGTCGGGATGTGAGGATGAATTTCCCGCTGGTGACATTTTCGGTGGTCGCGCTAAAATCAAAAACTGGTAGAAGTTAGAATTCATGGGACATTGAATCGGGTCCTAGTGGCTGAATGGTATACGAGCTTTTCTTGTAGGAAGAAGGTCCTAGGTGGTGGTGGGTGCGTACAGCTGATGATTCTCAAACTAGGATGAAACACCTGTCTAGTCCTCCAGTGGTGGTTTTCAATGGTTCTCTAACTCATATCAATCCATGATCAAACCCGAAAAACAAACCTAATCCTTACAAATCCACTCTTGAAAACAAAAGATGTACAACAGTAAACAACGACAAATAGTATACTGAAATGAACGAAACAATCGGGAATAAGACGAATTTCTATTCTTCTAAAATTAGACATATACCAAAGATGAAAATTTGATGATTATGTACAGACTGTACAACTACTGAGTAAATAGTAGTATACAATCTACGTGATTTTGTGAAGTATGACATCTTAAAATGATGGGTCGTTGAGTTAGATCCTGGCTTACAATTCTCAGAGTTCTGTAATACAATGGTTATTTCATTCAGTGACTGAGTGGACTAAAAATATATTTTTCTACTTTACAATACTGCTACTTTTTCATTCACTGAGCACATGGAACTTCAAGCTTTAAGGTTTCAATATTGGTAGTATTGTTTTTATGAAGTGGGGTTGCTAGCCCTTCACGACCAATGACTTTTTCATTCCTGTACTACTACCGACTGGTAAATAAGACGAAACTCAAGAGTAAGTCGGGTGAAAATCAAACACGAATTACATGTGTCGCTGATGAGCATCCTATCATTGATCCACCAACACACAGAAATTGTTGTTGATAAACTCTAATTGTCTCATTTACACACTATACAAGTAATTAATCATAATCCCTACTAAATTTCTATTTTAGGCGATTCAGAGAATATCATTATTACTATTATTGTCTCCTTGAGGAACATAGGGCTTTAGCCGCATGTTTCCATTGCATCCGGTTCTCCGCAAACGTTTTCACCTGGCTCCACGTCTGCCCACGTGCTTTCATCTTCTCTTCACATGACCTCATCCATGTCACCCTTGCACTGACAACCAACTCGCCGCTTCCAATTCAGCCGGTTTCCACTCGAGCAATGGGTTGGTGCGTGATGTCGTTTGATGGTTTCCTCAGAGTATGGCCAATCCATCTCCATTTCTTCCTGCCTATTTGTTAATCAATTGGTTCCTGGTTGGATCGTTCGCTCCCAGAAATCCCTGTTGCTGATCTTTTCTGGCAGACCATCTGATCTTGAGTATTGAGTGAAGACAGCTATTGATGAAGGTCTGTAGTTTGTTCGAAGTGCCCTTCTTGACTCGCCAAATCTCTGATCCGTATGGTAGTACTGACTTCACATTGGAGTTGAAAATCCGGATCTTATTTTTCATTCAGAGTGCTGTTGACCTCCACACAGACTTGAGAATAATGAAAGCTTGCCTTGCTTTCCCGATCCTCGCTTTGATATCCTCATCAGTTCCGCCCGCCTGTAGTTGAAACGATGCTTCGCGTATAGGTAGGTGAAGGAGGTTGCTTCTTTCATATTAAGTTTATATTACAATTTTAAGAAATAGTATAGCGGGAGCAATCAACAATGACTTGGTGAAGTCAAGAAGAAATGTGAATCAAATAACGTGAGCACACGGCTTTCAATCAATGACTGTTAGGTTAGATTCCTACTCTATCTATTTCAACTTGGGCAACTGAGTAGTGTCATTAGTCTTCACATAGTAAGTGTGAATCATATTTTGATACACAAATGGTTTGTTCCGGATCACTGAAAAAAATCAAACAGAATTTCCTAAATTTCTCAAAACGATTTCAACTTCTCAAATTTTCAATTAGAAAGTTTTGTATATAACTGCAGCAGCTTTCCATAAAGTGAAGCATAGAAGTACACAACAAATGATGACAACACAAAGAAATAGATGATTGATGTAGCTGATATTCCTAATCAATTTTACACATTCTCGTCACTGATTTACAGCATAATGTACACCAAATAGAACTACACATCAAGACAAAATAGTCAGGAAATCAAACTTGTCTCTACACAGCAAATGGATAAAACTCCATCCATGGAGTTTCCTGGAGTTCTAGTGAGAAGTCGTGACCAGTGAGGCGCAGCCAGTCGGGATGTGAGGATGAATTTCCCGCTGGTGACATTTTCGGTGGTCGCGCTAAAATCAAAAACTGGTAGAAGTTAGAATTCATGGGACATTGAATCGGGTCCTAGTGGCTGAATGGTATACGAGCTTTTCTTGTAGGAAGAAGGTCCTAGGTGGTGGTGGGTGCGTACAGCTGATGATTCTCAAACTAGGATGAAACACCTGTCTAGTCCTCCAGTGGTGGTTTTCAATGGTTCTCTAACTCATATCAATCCATGATCAAACCCGAAAAACAAACCTAATCCTTACAAATCCACTCTTGAAAACAAAAGATGTACAACAGTAAACAACGACAAATAGTATACTGAAATGAACGAAACAATCGGGAATAAGACGAATTTCTATTCTTCTAAAATTAGACATATACCAAAGATGAAAATTTGATGATTATGTACAGACTGTACAACTACTGAGTAAATAGTAGTATACAATCTACGTGATTTTGTGAAGTATGACATCTTAAAATGATGGGTCGTTGAGTTAGATCCTGGCTTACAATTCTCAGAGTTCTGTAATACAATGGTTATTTCATTCAGTGACTGAGTGGACTAAAAATATATTTTTCTACTTTACAATACTGCTACTTTTTCATTCACTGAGCACATGGAACTTCAAGCTTTAAGGTTTCAATATTGGTAGTATTGTTTTTATGAAGTGGGGTTGCTAGCCCTTCACGACCAATGACTTTTTCATTCCTGTACTACTACCGACTGGTAAATAAGACGAAACTCAAGAGTAAGTCGGGTGAAAATCAAACACGAATTACATGTGTCGCTGATGAGCATCCTATCATTGATCCACCAACACACAGAAATTGTTGTTGATAAACTCTAATTGTCTCATTTACACACTATACAAGTAATTAATCATAATCCCTACTAAATTTCTATTTTAGGCGATTCAGAGAATATCATTATTACTATTATTGTCTCCTTGAGGAACATAGGGCTTTAGCCGCATGTTTCCATTGCATCCGGTTCTCCGCAAACGTTTTCACCTGGCTCCACGTCTGCCCACGTGCTTTCATCTTCTCTTCACATGACCTCATCCATGTCACCCTTGCACTGACAACCAACTCGCCGCTTCCAATTCAGCCGGTTTCCACTCGAGCAATGGGTTGGTGCGTGATGTCGTTTGATGGTTTCCTCAGAGTATGGCCAATCCATCTCCATTTCTTCCTGCCTATTTGTTAATCAATTGGTTCCTGGTTGGATCGTTCGCTCCCAGAAATCCCTGTTGCTGATCTTTTCTGGCAGACCATCTGATCTTGAGTATTGAGTGAAGACAGCTATTGATGAAGGTCTGTAGTTTGTTCGAAGTGCCCTTCTTGACTCGCCAAATCTCTGATCCGTATGGTAGTACTGACTTCACATTGGAGTTGAAAATCCGGATCTTATTTTTCATTCAGAGTGCTGTTGACCTCCACACAGACTTGAGAATAATGAAAGCTTGCCTTGCTTTCCCGATCCTCGCTTTGATATCCTCATCAGTTCCGCCCGCCTGTAGTTGAAACGATGCTTCGCGTATAGGTAGGTGAAGGAGGTTGCTTCTTTCATATTAAGTTTATATTACAATTTTAAGAAATAGTATAGCGGGAGCAATCAACAATGACTTGGTGAAGTCAAGAAGAAATGTGAATCAAATAACGTGAGCACACGGCTTTCAATCAATGACTGTTAGGTTAGATTCCTACTCTATCTATTTCAACTTGGGCAACTGAGTAGTGTCATTAGTCTTCACATAGTAAGTGTGAATCATATTTTGATACACAAATGGTTTGTTCCGGATCACTGAAAAAAATCAAACAGAATTTCCTAAATTTCTCAAAACGATTTCAACTTCTCAAATTTTCAATTAGAAAGTTTTGTATATAACTGCAGCAGCTTTCCATAAAGTGAAGCATAGAAGTACACAACAAATGATGACAACACAAAGAAATAGATGATTGATGTAGCTGATATTCCTAATCAATTTTACACATTCTCGTCACTGATTTACAGCATAATGTACACCAAATAGAACTACACATCAAGACAAAATAGTCAGGAAATCAAACTTGTCTCTACACAGCAAATGGATAAAACTCCATCCATGGAGTTTCCTGGAGTTCTAGTGAGAAGTCGTGACCAGTGAGGTTCAATTAGATGTCACGTGTGTGGATGGATGTCCCACCAACGACAATGGTTGGGATCGCGCTAAAATCACGATTTGGTAGAAGTTAGAATTCATGAGCCATTGAATCGGGTCCCAGTGGCTGAATGGTATACGAGCTTGTCTTGTAACCGGAAGGTCCTGGGTTCGAACCCTGGCAGTGGGTGCGAACTGCCGATGATTCCCAAACTAGGATGAAACAGCAGCTGTCCAGTACTCCCTGGTTTTCAATGGTTCTCTAACTCCTATCAATCCGTGACCAACTCGTAAAACATAACTAACCCTTACAAACCAAACTATAGAGGATAATCTTATTGATGTGTAATATTTCAAACAGGAAGCAGTATGTGAATAAATCTCTACATGTTCATTGTAATTATCTCCTTCCTACTTACTTTATAAACAGTCTGGAAATTTTCTAACAGATAACATCATTTCAGAATATTGAAGCCATTACACAACACTTCGATAAATGGTCACCGATCATATTCATCTTTTTATTTGAAGGAATACAGGTACAGATTATTTTTAAACCTTACACGTTTGGCAGTCACTTGCCTTTATAAATATCACACGAATATACTGATTGATATAGTGAACATGAAGGTATACAAGTGAAACCGTTGTGTCGTGAGGTCTCCACGTTCGAACACCTTGCAGTTTATACTACCAAAGGTGAAAATTTGTGCGGACATATCTTTGTTAATAATAATCAAGCATAATAAACAATCTCATCTAACCCCTTATAAATATATTAGTGTCAAGAAGTAATTCTTTGTTATTCAACTCACCCCATCTCCTAAAACCACATGAACACCAGCGCCATTTGTACTACGACTAATCAAAGAGGCGAATGAATCCAAATTAGGCAATTTCGTGATATCTCCGTCACCCGTTACACCATAATGCGGCATAAAAGCTTCCATGGGACCAGCATGGAAATTATATTCTTGAAAGTCACAAGATCCAGACAAGGTCATACCAAATCCTTTAGCAGATAGTGTCGGCTCTTTAGTCAGTTTACTCCAACCACAACAATTACTGGACACATTCAATGAAGAAGCAGTGGAATATGGAGAATTACATCTTCGCCATAAAATATATTCTGAAAATCCACCGGGTCCCGCACAAATATCCGCAAAATATAAAATATCCTGTTCACAAAAGAATACAGAACAAATACAGAACAATATCTCATAGAAACTGTTCACTTCACCTTCATTTCTCATCAATAGGTGATATTCGAATACTCATAAGCAGCACAGCTATTGCTGTATGGTATAACGGATGTTATGCAGATAACCCAATATTGAAACATACGTAGCTTACTTACATATTCTAGAGTAGTATATGTCTGTTTCCAAATTGTTCTACTACTACAATGTCAGCTAACCATTGGAATGAGTGAATAAAAATTCTTCAGCCGATGGCTTTATCGAATCACCGATAAAATCCTAACTAAATGTTAATTCTGGTATTCATCCACTTCACATGGTTTTCATTTCTATTCGTGTTTCCGCCCATTCAACGGCTATCCAATGAAATAAGTTAGTTTCTGTTCTCACAGAAGACTTTCGGAACCCAATCTGTCATAAATTATCATCAGAAGCACAGAAATCCACCTCGGACTCAGTGATCAACGCATTACATTCAGTAAAAATAAAGTTATCAAGTATTGGTTTTGTAGGGAGTTTGTTTGATTGGTTGGAGGATTTCATCATGAGCTGACAACAGTTACAGAAACATTGGAAAACCGCCTGGGAGTACTGGACAGCCAGCTTTTTATTCACCCTAGTTTCGGACTCTGCTCTAGTAATACGCATCCACCCCACCGATAGGGTTCGAACCCAGGACATTTTGGTTACAAGACGAGCGAGCTAGCTCGTAGACCATTAGGCCACTCACTGGGGTCTCATCCAATGACCAGTCCATGAATTCTAACTTCTGCTAATTCATGAAGAATCCCAAACTAGGACGAAAAAGGTGCCCAGTACTCCCAGGTTTTCCAATGATTCTCTAACTGATGTCAGCTCATGATGAAATCCTTCAACCAATCAAAAAATAAAGTTAACAAAATATATGGTAATCTGTTAAATTATACCTTGAACAAACTTTATCAACAGTTATTCCCCAAGCACATAGAACATGGTTTTTATAAACACTGAACATCTGAAGGAAATCCTACTGTTTCAGTCCTTTTGCTAGCATGAAAACCGATTGTTACCCTGAACAGCTACGAGATCACTGTCATTAACGGTTATAATACACTGGTTTAACCATTGCATCAGATTATTTATGTACATGTGAGAATGTAGACCGATAAACGCTGAATAAACAGCTTCCTAATTCCTTGTTATCCTGGTCTCCTGAACGATTTATAACATTAAAGAACAACTGGAAATTACACATTCATATTTCACTGACTGCTCCAACTTTTCTTTTATGAATTCCTTTGAGTATTGAGTGGAACATAGGGCTCCAAGCTTGAGCTTTGAATTTTCAGTAACGGTGGTGATGAGACTTTATGGGATGGGGATACTTGTCTCGTGTTCACCCTTCCCTATTTTTACAGGGCTTACTACTACTATCTAGGCAAGCTTTTAAGTGTTCGTCAGCCAAGAATCGAGTCCGGGTCACATGTGTCATTGGCGTACATTCTATAAATAGATTTCAGTACTAACCAAAAGTCTGAATATTAATATTAATAATGATAATAATAATGAACTGAACACTTACATCATCATCTGCAGCCTTTGTAAACATTCCATCAAATATAGAATCGATATTAGCCATTACCATAGCGGCACTAAAATCCAATCGGAAATATAAACATCAAATTAACAAGCACGCTTCACAATGACTAGAAAAAATTAGTTAACTTCAGTTGTCTCACCGCTTCATTTATTCTACTGAGTGAAATCGACACTGATTAAGGGAAATTCACAATATCAAAGCGAATATACCCACGTTTTTTGGTATGTAACAGGATTTTGGTGATTTTGTCCGTACAGACATAAACTGGCTACTACAGTGTAGGCACTAAGAAATGTGCCACACGAGTGAACACAAAGATTGAACAAAAATATAATAAGAGAAAATCGAAAGTTGGGTAACCGCAGAATGAATGAAGCAAGTCAGTATACCCATCTAGGTAGATTAAAAAGTGCATTCCTAACACCGTAATACTCTTTAGTAGTAGAAGTCAAAAGCAAGCTACAAACACTTTCGCCAATGATTTTGATTCTGTGATATAATCGGATTATATCTTCAGTGATTAAGTAGCCTAATTTCTGTCAATTCAACAAAGAAGTAGTGATACACTAACAGTTAACATCGCAGATTAACTATTCTTCATACTACAACTCCAATACTGGACTGAAAACCTCTTCAGAATTCCCAACCAGACCATAGAGTATAAAACATCGGCAACACAAGTCAAATTCACTGGAGTCAGTGTTTCAACGTGACATTATCTACCGAAACACGCTCTACTTCTTATGAAAACACAAGCCGCCGGATTACAGAGTTACTTATATGTAAGCAATCTAACCGACTATAAAATATATACAAGACACTAAATGCATTCATTTTCCTAAATGCAATGTTTCGTTTCTCCAGCATTTTTCTCGTCATTCACCACATACATATGTATATAACTTTTCCTGCATTGTTAGACCTGCATGTTTATTTCCTGCAGAAGAAAGGATGCAGTATGATGACTGCCGCATATGGTGACCACAAGAGGTGTACTGGATTAAAAATGACAACATATATAAGCGGTGTTTCAGGCATACATCGCGTTCAATGTGAAGGCGTTTGTCCATCGAAGGCCATGAAACTCCTAAAGAACAATTTGATTCACAAGGAAAATGTAGATTGCACTTCTGATGATGAGGTTAGCAGTATCACTATGAAGTTCACCCTTCTTGGGGTTCCAGTACCCTAAATTCAGGGGGTTTTAAGCATTCTAAGTAACTGAGGAAATGCAAGGAAGTAATGTCTACACAGACTTCCAGCAGTGTCCCGGAGTTCTCATTCTGCTCTGCACAGAGTGGGTAGTCATCGTGCATGCTAGTCCACCACAGGTGGTCTCGACCGCATTCCCACAATTTAGACTTAGTGATCTTATTCAGAAAATTCTCCTGGCAAATCTCTGGCACAAACAAGTGGAAATTGGTTAAGATAGGGAAAAGAGCCGCTGGAAACACATCCAAAGAGCATAAACTCCCCAAAGTAGTACCAGGCTCATCTAATCAACAAAATCAGTTGCTAGCCAATATACAAACTCAGTGGTACCAGAGTATCCCACGCTAGTCTCTGGAGAACATGAAGAAGAAACAAGTGCTGTCTCAAAATGAAGCTAGGAGCAAAATCGGGACAACCGACTGGAAACCTGTGGGCTTTCAAATAGTCAGGTCCTAGAAATGAATGCTTCTAACACCTGTGTAGATAATCTTAAACTTGTATAAGGCCTTCAGGTAACTCACATCAACCAATACAGAAAGTCTCGGCATTTAATTCATTGTAATAGGAAATAAGCTAATCCCAGCCATATTGGCCATAACTGAAACATGACTTGTCTGTGATTTAGACGAGAAATCTGAGCTCTTAGAGCTTAGCTGTCTTTGTAGCGACAGAATCAGTGAGAATCCAAACCTCATGAAAGTGGAACATGCAAAATGAGCACTTGTAAAAGTAGCTCTATCGGCGTGACTTTCTTAGTGGAGTGATACATCGAAGTCCGAATTGTCACTATGATGACATTAAGCAATGGAATAGATTTAACAACTGCCTCATTCTAGGTAACTTCGATGCACTCCATGTAGACTGAGTAGCTCTTGTTAGTAAATTATTCTTGACTGACATTTCTTAGATGACACACGCTTTGGTCCTATCCAAGACCATCCCCTGCTGGACATGGTGACAACGCATGACGCAGAAGACACAAGTAGTCTGACAATTCCCTTCTCACTGGTTAATAGTGATCACTGGGTGTAGTCCTTAAACATCAAGACTTGTGATTTAGTTCGGGTTCAACCTCAGGCTTGCTTTAACATTTGACATGTGGATATTGTCTCTACTAAAAAGTGTTTCAACTGTGAACTGGTCAGTCTGTACCGACTTGTCAATCAATGATGCATGGAATAAATTCAAAGATACATTTGGAGTGATCACTCACCTAGCAAAGCAACAAGCCATCCCTCTGTGGATAAGCAGATGGGCTATGACACTACTTTGGCGGAGGTAAAAGTTCCAAAACCTTTTCCTCTCAAGTGAGCAGCGACTAAAAGGCTTTAAAACCAGAAATCAACGTAAGACCTTGATTTATGAATGTAGGAAGGCATGTGAATCACAGTTAGTTATGATCTTGCAGGGTTATCCTAAAAGACTCTTCGAGTATGTGGAGAGAAAAACTACAAAAACTGACGCTATTCCTATTTTTCTAGTTTATGTAGGCTCGATAGGTTTGGTTGGTGAAAATCTCTCAAAGGCTGAAATTCTATCAAATTACTTGAGCTAAGTGTTCTTTGAAAAGGGTAATGCATCTATATTAGATTTTCTGGAATCTAATCTAAGACTGAACACTCTTCATATTAAAAAAGAATCCATCCTGGAATTTCTTAAAAAGGTCAATCACAGTTAGCCTAGAGGTCCTGATTAACGCCATCCACGAAAATTATGTGCACAGGCCGAAACCATAACCGAACCGCTGTCGTGCCACTCAACATGTTACTGACCCAGTCTGTCTTCAAGAGATTGGAAAGATGGCATCATCAGTCCGGTGCTCAAACAGGAGTTAGACATTTAATTAACAATTACAGTCCTGTTAGTCTAGATAGCATTGTCGTAAGACTGCCGGAGAGAATTATACTTGACGCTGTTATCCAACAAGTTGAGAGTAATGGAATTAATCAGAGAAACGGCATGGTTCTAGGGCAGGTTATTCTTGTTTGACTAATCTTCCTTTAGCACAAGAAAGTTGGGCAGATGTAGCTGATGCTGATAGACCGGCAATGACAGTGATCATCTTGCTTTGCAAAAATATCCAGATCTATTGATTGAATAGTGTAATCGTTTGTCTTAAGAAATTAACATAAACAGTAATACAAATAATGAGTTTCATTCATATTTGACGAGAGTAAGAATTTAGGACTGGTCTGAAACCATGACCTAATTAGCCTTAGCCGATTTTAGAACAGTGGCTGCGGAAAGTTTAAAAATATTATAGACTCTACATAGGGCATTCTTAAATTTTGATGCTGGTATATTTCATGTATCATATCCCGCATGCGTTAGACTTCATTTCGGATATGGGATTCAGGCAGTCAACTCACATTTCATATATGAAGCAGACATACTAGAAAGGGTAGGAAGAGTGGGGATTTAAATGACCAAGATATTATTAAACTTCTCATGTGAGAAGAGATCGGATCGACTGGATTTATTCCCACTTTCATATTAGCAGTTGAGGACTGACCTCATCTTAGCATTCTGTATTTCACCTAAAGATTTGGGTACTAATTTATGCTGTCTGCCCCCCCCCCTTCGAGACCAACCACTTGCGAGGTAACCAATCTAAAATTCATAGACCGCGGTCAGATTGTGTACATCTGGAAGTTCGTTTCTTGAATCGAGTCGTGAACCAATAGAATTCTCTACAGTAGCACATTGTGTCGACTTATTCTAAACAAGACTGGATTTGATTTCTACTGTACTGCAAACTGGAAAGATTAATACAGGCTTAAAATTTACAATCTTAATAAACTGTAAACTAATTTATGGTCTCACACACTACTACTGTAACAACAGAAGACAAGGGCCAGGCAACAGATCGTTTATTAAGGAAAATCAACACATATTTATAGATTTTAATCTTTATTATTGTAGATTATTGTTAGTAGACAATACAGTCTTTTGATTGGTTGTTTCTCACAGAAAGTTAACCTTGCATCTCTTTGTGGCTGTGTCAGATCATCCATATGCTAACTGCATCCGCCCGCCTACGCAAAGCCTTTGTTCTCATTTTCTCACCACCAATATTGGGGACATAAACATTGACGTCAATTACTGTCTACCAACTTTGGCTAGCAGCCAGCGCTCACCACACTACTACTACTACTACTACTACTACTACTACTTGTCGCCTCATCATGTTTCCACCCTTTTCTTAACAGGTGACTCTAATTTTGCCTAAGAAATCTATCAACTCTACTACCTATTTGCCTATCCATTCATTTCAACTGATTTTCACTTTAAAGAGAAATGTTTTTACATACAAGTATTGGAAAGGACATGGTCATGCTGCAACGTCTTTTTTCTATGATCCACAACTTATCCACATAAACACCGTAACAGTCGAATCCATTGTTTCGTCAAAATCTTCATTTTTGAACTGAATGTGAAATATAATATCGACAATGTAAAATAGTAGGAATTTGATCATATGATAGGACCCAGCATAAAATAGTATATCAACCTTTTTTCATGAATCATGTGATTCATGTTGCAGTGGAGTTACCATGTTAATCTATCAATTCTCATGCATATTGCGTGATTTAGTGTGTGATCAATTTTGTCTCACCTTGGTCTAGGTTGGATCACCAAACAGACAGAATAGAAATTTCCAGCCAATCATGGACAGCTCATTCTCGCGGTTGTCTTTTGATATTTGCGTGGCTCAGTGAATCGGAAAGTGCAACGGACAAATAGCCATATTAGCATACCAGTTGAGTTCATTACCGTTATAGTAATTAACAGGTGCAGACATAACAAAGTAGCAACGGATTTATTCAGTTTGGATATAACAAACTGGCAACGTGTCAGTTCCGTTCAGTCATAAAATCACCAATATCGCTAACTGTAGTAAAATTAGTGGAATACTGTTGTGAAAGCATGATGTACTGTATACCTCCGCTTGACACAATGACATTCTCTCTCTCTCAAGCGAAATATATTCCACTCGAACAACAACTCCATCAAATCTGGAGTTAATATGTGATAGTGGATATTAATATTTCACCTGAGCCAAATTGATTTACTAACTATTGAACTGTTCCTCAACACACACACAGTTACTTTGACGTAAAACAGACAATAGTTGGTGAAGTGAATACCATCTCACACATTACAGTTATTTACAGAAAGACACAGAACTGAGACGGTGAGAAATTTACACACACACCCTCCTCCCTGGATAAAGGAGGACACTTACATATCTGTTTATGAGGTCACCCCAAAGGACAGAAAACTAGTAGGTTTCCAAGGCAATATAAACACTGCCAACCATGAAAAGTTTTTCAGAGAGAAATGTGGCAACCGATTTCCACATAATGACACAATCACACACATCTGTGTGCAACTGACAAATACTGCTTGATTTACTTGTGGAGTAAGATAGACTGTTAGTTTTGTCAAGTTTCGATCGTAGTCCAGTAGATGAAAGGATCACACGCCAGGCCCTCGAGAGTAAGACACAGACAACAAACGAGTGTGACATGGTTTTGTAAGAGACGCAGAGATAGTGTGAGGGAATGAAAGTTTATGGAAAATCATGGAACCAGCTAAAAAGGACTGCAGCGATCAGAGTAAAATAGAAATGAGCTGCTGAAGCCATTTGTTCCACTTGGTATCCAAGGGGTGTAGGCGCATACTGTGTACAACTCCTTGTAGGTAACAAATTAAACCAAAATTAACCAAAATACTAAACATTTTCAAAACCATGTGTCTGCAATAAAGTTAAAGAGGTAACAGTTGTACGACCGAGTTGATGTTAGTAAACAACGGCAACGAGGCCCATCCTGGAACATCATCAATTAGACACCAGTTGAACTTCGAAATAATGGAGAACATTCTTTCACTACAAGTGAGTAGCATTAGTGTTCTTACGTTATCCGAGATGGATGACGTAATTCCATAACTTTGATTTTCCCATTTGAACGTCTTATGTGAAAATAAAGCTTAACACGATGTTTGAAAGCATGATGAGTACTTTAACGGTTAAGCCATCCCAGCTTAGAGAATACAACTAAATCAATATACATTCGATTACACTCTGTGGCAAATCAAATATACAAAATATGCCCCAGGAAATGGGATAGCACAATCTACGTCGGTGGCACAGTGGTTAGGACTATCGCCGACAATGCACTTGGTCCGGGGTTCGATTTCCTGCCGACGCACACACGACATTTATGGTCGGCCTGAAATATTTGGGCTACCGATATCCATACTGAAAATTCCATACTTGTACTGAAAATGCGGTGTGGCGTCAAGCTGTAATCAAAAATAAATAAAATAAAAAATATTCTTGTGTCAGTAAACATATTCAGTCGCCCCAGAATTCTGTGTTCCTACTTTAACCTGAGTTAGACATTTTATTAATTTAGAAAACACCTAGAGAATGTCAATATCTATCGAAATAAGTAATCAGTATCAGATCAAACAACCGTCTCTCTCTCTCCATTTGTCATTAATCACGAAAAACGAAATCGACATTTACCGGTTCATAAATATTCCACTGCCAATATCTTCATATGGATTGCTACAGTGATGACTTTTACGGGTCATTTTCACAGAATAGTTATCCAGTTGGTTCTGTACAAAGAGAGAGAAAAAAAAGAAGACATTCACGTGTCACATAATGAAGTGTAGCTCAAATTAAATCAACAGTGTCATATATTTCAAGTAAGATTTACCATTATTTATACACTACAAGTTTATGTTTCAATGAATCCAGTTGTGAATATGTACAATAAACTGTTGAAGCTCATATGACTATATATGCTGTATGATATCAATTGAAAAATTTAATTTTCAAATGTTGGTTTGCAGAGGGATTCGATGACCGATAGATATCAATTGGAGAACCACCACCACGAACGAATACCAGGCAGCTGTTTCTCTAACTAACATGATGTAATTTAAAATCAGTCAGCTGCTCTCTACAAACAAACACTTGAAAATTAATCTAATGCACAATAATGACTGATTGACAGATGAAATTATAATAGAGAGTTGAGAAGACCCCTCATGGGGTTCACTAAACTGGGTATAAGCATAAATGCTCACCGATGAAATTAGCTAGCTAGCAGTAGAGTTATACATCGCAAATTAGTAGAAGTTAGAATTCATGGGTCATTGGATTTGATCTAAGCGGCTAAATGCTTAACGGACCGATCCCCGATGTGGTTTTGAGTGCGTATCGTTGAAGAGTCTGGAACTAGGACGAAGCAGTTGTCTAGTACTCCCCACTTGTTTCCACTGGTTCTATTGCTGATTTCCGTTCGTCATTAAACTTGAAAATGTTAAAGTTGATGTTATAATCGGAACGTATAACTATGACGTGTGCTACTGATAAGATTTGCCAGTAGTATATAAAGAGACGTCAATCGGCCTAAAAGCATCAGATAACAGGCAGATAGGTTTGACATCAAAAGGAGAAAATGATTCGGCGTTGCGGGGATACATGGGAGACGCGAGAAAGAAGAGAAAGAAACACAATATGCAGGCGAGAAATTGAACAATACGAAAGATCCTTGTTAACGGTGCGTTGTAGATAAGGTGTACCTAATTTTGCTACACAGTGGCGATTTTAAGTTGTAAGTACATATCCCTTCAAAAGAATGGTTACAAAGAATCTTCTCTTCGATAACTTCATCATTAGGTTTTTTTTATTATAGCTTGAAACCACACAGTATTTTCGGTACAAGTATGGAATTTTCAGCATATGATATCGGTAGCCCAAATTTTGCAGGCCGACCATAGATATCAGGTGTGCAGGGGGTCGAACCCCGGACCATGTGCATGGTAGGCGAGAGTCCTAACCGCTGTGCCACCAACGCAGTTATATAAACATAATACTGAATGTAAGGGGTTATCGAAAAGAATATTCCTTATTAAGTAACCATTCATTGAAAAAAAATTAATGGGCATTTTTAATCAGTTAAAATAAGACGAGAGACTTGGTTAAGGAATGTTATTTGAAATTAGGCGTCTCTATACAGCCAAAGTATGTACACCTTATCTTTAACTTCATTGACTTTGAAAAGGCCTTCGACAGCGTCGATTGAGAGGCGATTTTGAAACTACTTCGCCACTACGGGGTGTCGCCGACATTTATACATCTCATCCAACAGTTGTACAACATTGCTGCATGCCGAGTAATCCACAACGGGACGCTTACGGAATCCTTCGAAGTAAAGACGGGAGTAAGACAAGGCTGTCTACTATCTCCAGTGATTTTCCTGATTGCGGTAGACTGAATAATGCGACAGACAGCGAGCAGCGAGGAAACAGACATAAAATGGACCCACACAAAGCCTTGGAGGGTATGGACTTCGCCGACTATACACGTCTGATTTCCCACAATCCGGAAGATATGCAAGTGAAAAGCAACAAGTCGGCTGAAGAAGCATCAAAGATAGGAAGGACTTCAGGTGATGAAGATTCCTGGGCAACACCACCAACAGACAACAATCAGCATAAATGGAAGGAACCTGAAAGAAACAACCTCTTTTACCTACCTACGAAGCATCGTTTCAACTACAGGCGGACGGAACTGACGAGGATATCAAAGCAAGAATCGGAAAAGCATGACAAGCTTTCACTACTCTCAAGTTTGTGTGGAGGTCAACAGCACTCAGCATGAAAATGAAAATAAGATCCGGATTTTCAACTCCAATGTGAAATCAGTCAGTGCTACTATACGGATCAGAGACTTGCACTGCGCGTCATAAAGAGCATCTCAAACAAACTACAGACCCTCATTGACAGTTGTCTTCGCTCGATACTCAAGATCAGACGGCTGGGAAAGATCAGCAACATGGATCTCTGGCAATGAACGAACCAACCCAGAAGGAACCAACTGTTCAGTAAATATGCTGAAAGAGATGGATGTTGACTGACCACACTCTGAGAAAACCATCAAGTGATATCACACGTCAGGCCGTCACTCGAGTGGAACCCGGATGGGAAACGGCGAGCTGGCTGTCAGTGCGAGGGTGACTTGGAGGAAGTCGTGTGAAGAGGAGATGAAAGCATATAGGCAAACTTGGAGCCAGGTGAAAACGTTAGCAGAGAACCAAACGCAATGGAGACGCACGGCTGAAGCCCTGTGTTCCTCTAGGAATTAAAGGAAACAATAATAATAATATCTTCAACGCACCATTTGCACATATCTTCCGTGTCGTGGTACTTCTCACCTTCATACTGTTTGTCTTTAGTCCTTTCACGTCTCCCATATATCTCTGCAACGTTGAATCGTTTGCCCTCTTTGACATCAAATCTATCTATTTGCCGTTTGATGTTTTTTTATTCCGATGAACGTCTCTTCATATACTACTGATGAATCTTATCATTAGCACGCGTCAAATAATAATAAATTAATGTGATAACATTCCGAGCTGCTGAAGAAATTTATCAACATATTCACTCACGCATACACATAAGAACATCTTCACAAGAACTTCATTAACAATGTTATACATTTATCAACAACAATCATCAATGATACGTTAAGGGATAAAGTTTTGTTGTTTCAAATGACAGGTGTTGGATTCAAGTCTCAGTGAGAAATTCATTATTCGCTGGAATGCTTTTGTTTTCAGATAATGAGATCTAAGTGAGATGAATCAAATATCTTTGATTCAGTTGCCAGGCACTAACCCCTGAATTAGATTGTTACAGAAAACCCTGACTATATTAACAAAATTTCTACCTAAACTTCAATACTACGTGTATGTATAGTCTCAGCTGACGCCTTAAAATTCACAGGATTCGAGCAGATTCGTCAATATCATGTATGTTGGGATCTAGTAAAAGAACCATCACTATGAACACCAATTGCTTAGATTTACTAAAAACTCATAGTGTTTTTTATTAGTGTACAAACAATTCACAGTTAATCAAAGACAATAAACACTCATCACGCCACACATACACACACATATTATTCTTCATGAAATCGATTGAACAAAGCTAAGATAACGATTCAAGCAGCACTTACATGGTAGAGGTTCCAGTTAACTTCTTAAGAAAATTTGGATACTTCGAAAAAAGAGTTGCTAAAGCGATCACTATCAAATGTTTTTGAAACCTAACTTATGTTTGTTCAGAGCACTAGGCCACATTTCTATGTTCTGTTAATTTAACCGACGTTAACTGATCGGTTCGTAATGTCCTCTCGGCCGCACACACACGCACATGTATACAGTTTCGTCTAGAGAGAAAATAGTCCTTCAGAGATTGTATGTCAGTGAATTTGTAGGTTTATAATAACTGTTAAATCACCGGAAAGAGTAACTCTTCGTTGAATGCCTTTTCTTTTATATGATTCAATGGGAATTTTTAATTTGCTCCAACGTTGCAAATGCCCCGTGACGGTGAAGGAGCTGGACAGTTTCCTGCGTTACTCCGTCAAGCTTGCAGTTGCGAAAGCAGAGATACAGTTCTTAAGAGAATGTTTAGATCGTCATGAATATCCAAAGATGTACTTGAAATCATTCAGAGGCAATCATCTCCATCCAAATACCAGAACACCCAGGCAACACACACAAACACACTAAACAACACTGACTCCATCCAATCATGTGTCCCTGAACTAGAGCGAAACGTCGACTTACGAGTTCATGCAGTGTATGATTTAGATCAAGAACTACGACAATCCTTCGAAGAATATGTTCATTAAGTCACACAGAAACAATGTGATAAGATCAAGTCAAATTTTATTAAAAGACTGAAGTCGACGAGTAAGACTGGACGTCCATCCCCAAACAATCCAGAAAAATACGTATTTAATCTCTCAAATATCAAACTGTCAACACTTCAAATAGAAGCACATCCCTCGGCTCAAAATTCTGTTCGAAACCATCAAGTATCCAGTAGCTTCAATTCCAGGTTCAGTTCGAAAACCTGATAAATCAAATATATGATCTGTTACCAATATCTGAAAAGAACCTGCAACAATTCAAATCGTCAGTCCTTGACAGCTACCATAAGTTTATAAATTCCAAAGCAAATGGGAGGTCGATATTAATCCAGAAACACTATAAAGAGCTAAAGGAATCAACAAACAACAAAGAGATCATTCTGATAAAGGCTGGAGAATCGTAGTCATGAATCGTGAAGACTGTATAAATAAAGCGCTGATATCCCATCCAATGAGTCCAAATTCACAAAACCAACCTATGAAAAGAAAATAACGGAACAAACTGAACAAAAACTAACAAGTATTCTCTGAAAACTAGAAACTAAGTCACTCATCGACGCTGAAACCTTCGAATCGCTGAGGCTGTCTGGCTCAAATACACTCCAACTTTATAGATAACCGAAAGTTCACAAGAAAGACATACCTCTCCGACCCATTCTCGATATGACTAATTCACCTTATCGTCGCACTGCCCAATGGCTAGTAGACCCACTAGAACCAATCAGAAGGCGAATTTCCTGCCACGCACTCCGACATTCCTTTGATTTTGCTAATTCCATTGAAAACGTCAGTGTTTCTTATCAAACCATGTTCTCACTAGATGTGGTATCATTGTTTACGAACGTCCCACTAACCGAAACGATATGCTATGTATGTGAAAATATTGATTCAAAGGGGATAAACATTGTTATATCCCCTGAATATTTGAAACAGCTACTGTTGAGATGCATCATGAACGTCAAATTCTCTTTCAGTAAAGAAATATATCAACAAAAAGATGGTATAGCTATGGGCTCACCACCTGGTCCGTTACTCGAAAACTTGTTCATGTCAAAACTAGGAAACACACGTCCAAAGAAAATGGTTGACAACTTCGGGTTTTACAAGAGATACGTGGACGACATTTCATTATCTCCAACAATGAGGTGAATTTAAATAACACCTTGGACGTTTTCAACAGCTGCCATCCAGCAATTCAGTTCACACTAGAGAAGCAATCGAACACAAAAATATCTTTTCTGGACGTACAATTAACAAGATGTGAACAAGACGGAACACTAAAAAGACCCATCTACAGAAAGCCAACTTGGAACGCACAGCTTACTAACTTTCACAGTTGAGTGCCCCTATACACAAAACGAAACCTGATCCGTTTACTGAGTCACAGAATCCGCAGCATTTGCAGCCCCGACACTATGGAAGAGGAGCTAAACACTCTGAAGGGAATCCTCCTCGAAAATGACTACCCAGAACGTTTCATTACAAAATCTATGAAATCTAAACCACCAAAATCGCCCATACTTTCTGCTTCCAAAAAACATCTCTACCTAAATCTACAATTCAATGAAGATTCATCAACAGAAATACTGAGAAACCGTCTATATTGCTCACTGAAGAAAACCTTCTTCGCTGCTGAACTCCGACTAAAGTTCTCTACAAAACCAATGACTGGCATTAAAATGAAGGATCAGCGATCACTTTTCGCCGGCCTCATCAATGTGCACCTACCAATTCACCTGCTCATGTGGTGAAAGGTATGTTAACCGTGCCCAGCGTTTGCCTTCCAAACGAACACTAACCCTCATGGTTTTATAAAGGAGAAAAAAGATACCCCCACCCGCAGCTCTATGCTAGAACACCTGATCAAATCAGGATACTAAGCTAACCCACGAAGTAACTTCAAGGTCATCTGCGGAATACGTAGGGATATTACGAAAAGAAGCAATGGCAATTCACATGTTAAAACCTGAACACTGCATACAAAAGAAGTTTGTTCAGTCATTAAACTTACAGTGGACTGCACCTATCTTAACAGCGAATAAGTAACTTTTGTTTCGTCTTTTTCTTGCTTGTTTGTTTCTTAATTGTATAGTATTTCCCCACCTCCTCAACCCTTATTAACACTGTCAACTTTTGTTCAATCTTAATTTTATTTGGGCTCTACTTAACCCTGTCAATTAGATTGCATCACTCAACTTGCTTATTTTATCTCATTTTATTTTTTAACACATTCAGAAAAATTTTTATCTAAAACTTACAGTTCTAATGACACATCCTTGGTAATATTCTTTTTGTTGCTAAGGTAACTTACTAGTAAATATAAATGTATATATATACGGTTGTACAGCTTGAGAATGATACGGTCGAAAATAGTAACTACTCTTCGCTGAACGCCTTATCGTTTACATAATTATTACTTATTCTTTTAAGTTCGGAGTGGAAAATAAGTGTATTAAGTAATGTGAGCTGTAATCTAGAAGGGATGACTAAGTGGCTAATTAAAAAAGGAGGACAGAAGTCGGGATGACGTAATAAGTGTGAGAAAATGACTATTCATTTTCAAGAGTTGGCTTGTAAGGATTTAATTTGTTTTTACGAGTTTAACCACGGATTGATATCAGTTAGAGAACCATTGAAAACCACCACTGGAGGACTGGGTAGCTGTTTCATCCTAGTTTGGGAATCATCGGCATTTTCTTTCCGTTTTACAATCTTACATGGCAAACTCATGTTATTTATTTGATTTCATATCTGAAGGGAGACACAAAATACCGATTATAATGCGCACAGACTTATAAACTAACAGAAATTCATATACAGTAAAGTAACTTGATCTTGAATTCATATTACTCTAAATGCTTCAATGGTTACAATCCACACACACACCCAGATGTCTCATGTGGAAGTGCACCCTTCACAAACCAAAGCCTATTCTATTTATGTGGTAACAGTTAATGAAATTCCTATGATATCATCAAAATACTCCTACCACATTCGTCATCATCAATAAACGAAACCATAAGCCACCAGTACCAACATGCCTTCCATTCTATATTACAGGCCATTAGATAAACAGTGACTATTCGAACACTGAAATTTCCAATACATCAGTGTGTAACAAACCTTGTAGTTGAAAACTTCTTGAACATGATGTGCTGGACAAAATCTTGTCTGACTATTCATCTCTTCAATACGAGGCCCAAGTGCATCTGTGTTATCTGGCCAAATAATTAAAGATTTCAGTCTTGACATAATGTTTATTTCACGATCTGTTGACCAGGTTGCAATAAAATCCATATTATCTGTCGCTTGATCACATCCCTGATGCCAAACTAAGTGTGAATAGGGTGACTGGTATACAGCAGACTTTGCTTTATCTTGTTCCCCACTTGTGTTAGGATCATTCCTCCTCTTCGGCCAAACAGGTCTATTCGTCCCACCATGATACTGACCATCATTTTTCGGACGTTGACTGTCCCGTTTATTCATCTTTTACACTGACTGAACAAAAATAAACGGTAAACAGACTTTATGAAATCTTTTATTGATGATATAATTGACACTAAATGATATCCAAAGTATAAGTATCTATCTAAATCTATGTGTAATTTTGTCTCAGTACTACAGTCCGATTCATCAATCTGATGCGATATCTTCTTAGAACTCATTCTTCAACCCATATGAATCATCACCATACCATTCCATAGCCGAATGGTTAGTCAAACTCGTACAGTTTCTACATACTGAATTGGTGAAACACAGCGTAAAAGACATCTTTAAATTTGTTGAAAGGATAAAAGATTTAAATGTTGACAATAAATTCATGATACCATTTGACGTATCTTCCTTATTTACCAATATACCACTTTTGGAAACAGTGAACTTTGTATACGAAGAACTCATAAGACGAAACATCAATGTCGGCATTCCTTTATGTTTTATAAGGGAGCTTCTTTTGAAATGCACAATAAATGTTCACTTTTTATTTAACAAGGAACTATACAGACAAACTGATGGTGTGGCGATAGGGTCACCACGAGGACCCATTCTAGCCGACATTTTCCTTGTAAAACTAGAGAATGGGCCTTTGAAAGATGTAATTGATGAACTAGGATTCTACTGCCGGTAGATGGATGGTACGTTTTTGATTATGAAAAACGAGGATGAAGCAAAGAGCATCCTGAGCGAATTTAACGGTGTTCATCCTTCAATAAATTTTACTATCGAGAAAGAAAGAGGCCCTAGTATTTCATTCCTAGACGTCTTTATGGCTAGAATAAAAGACGGTATAACAAGAAGTGTACATAGAAAACCCACATCAGCTGGTCAGTATACTCATTTTTGTAGCTTCGTGCCTTTGATATAAAAACGCAATCTAATAAAGTGCTTGGTCCACAGAGCAGGAGCAATCTACTCTGATGAATATCTTAATGAAGAGCTTAATATTATTAAACATTTGCTTATTGAGAACGGTTACCCAGAAAAATTCATCGGTAAGAATATGAATCAAAAGTCAAGGAAAGCCAATGTACCAACAGTTCCGAAAAAGTCCTTTATCTTACAAATTCAGTTCCTCGAGGATAACATCAGCGAGATATTAACACACTGCCTAAAGGATGTGGTAGAAAGAGCACTAAGTGCTGCTGAATCATGCTGTGTTTTCAAAACCACCCCGATTTCGCGTTCAGGAGTTAAAGATAAACTGCCTAATTTTGCCACTTCTATGTGTGTCTACCAATTCGGCTTCACCTTTGGAACCAGTTACATAGACCATACAACTAGGCGTGTTTACCGTTGGATTTCCGAACACCATCCTGAGGGTTTAAATAGGGGAAAAACAAAATTCATTCAAAGCTCTACTTTATCTCATCTCATGGATACAGAACACAAGATTGATGTTAACGAGGCGGCTTTCAAAGTCATCTACGGCATACCAACTAACCTTAACCCTACCTTAAGAGTTCGCCTACTAAATATTGTTGAGGCTGTTGGGATCCACATTAAGAAGCCTAACTTAAGTATCCAAAAGAAGTTGGTTGGTTCAGACACCTTGGCCATCAAGGTTCTAATGATCCTCAATTTGTTGTGTAAATTTCTCTAATTTTATTTGATACTCTATTTGCTATTATATTTGTATGCTCATTATAGCTTAAGCGTCTTTCCTGAACTGTAATTTCATTCATCTTAACTACTTGATAGTATTTAAAAAACACTATACGAATCACTTAATCTATACGGAAACTAACATAACATTCACCTTGTACATTGATTCGTGAAGTGAGTAGGCTTTTTCGTTTAACCTGTTTACTTCAGTCTGTCCTCCTAATTAAACAACTGATTTACGACACCATGGTTGATTTTGATCTTTTCTTCCTTTACGTCTATTGCAGAAATCTATCGTGTTGTGTAGAATAGAGGAAGTCTTTGACAACTACATTAAGTACCGATTAGCTTATTATCTAATTTTCGGTAGAGTTAAACTTTAAGCACCACTAACTACCAATCAGCGAACGACCACGAACGCACCAATCACGTGAAGGAGGCATTTTTGTGTATGGAATACATATGTTTATGAAAAACCGCATTAAAAATTGTATAAAAGTGTAACAGAGGATTCCTTCCTCTCACATTTGATAAAAATAGCTCTCAGTTTTGGTTTGGAGTATCAACAGGGTATAATGCCATTGTGGGTAAAATTTATTTTGATAAAGTTTCATAATGTTATACAGTAATATTTACTGAGAAATAAATTGTGCTCGAAACTTCATCAGTAAATATTACTGTATAGCACCCTGAGAGTTTATCAAAATAAATTTTACTCACAATGGAATTATACCCTACCACAGTCTTCGCTCTATACTGAAGATCAGATGGCCGGAAGGAATCATCAACAAGAAACCATGGGAATAAACAAAACAAGAACCAATCGCCCAACAAATGTGCAGGAGAAAGTGGAGATGGATTGGACACTCGCTGAGGAGGCCGCTGGGTGACATCGCGCGTCAGGCCCTCTAGTGGAACCCGAAAGGGAAGTGACGAGTGGGACGTCCAAGGGTGACATGGAGGAGATCGTGTGAAGAGGAGTTGAAACAGTATGGACTAACATGGATGCAGGTGAAAAGTACAGCAGAAGACAGAAGTAAGTGGAGACGTGCAGTTGAAGCCCTATGTTTCACTAGGAACCCAAGGGAACAATAATAATACAATGCACAAGTTCTTTTCTTATATCAACAGAGTAATTTAACCACATTCTATGCATGTAATTTATTTAGGTCTTCTAACCCTAACAATAACCCAGATCTTTCTTGAACCTAAACCTAACGTGAAAATATCACTAAACTAACTTTCATCTAGCTCGAACCAAACCTACTGTCGCTTTTGTGAGGTTAACGTAACCCTAACTTGTCCTTGGCTTAAAGAGTAACTTAGTCTTTCCCAAACCTAAGCTGAAACTTACCAGATATCCCGTTTAATAACATCACACTCCGATGAGCATATTTTATTGATGATGACAACATTATTTGCTGGATTTCACTAACTTGCTCAGTGAGCGTCTCAAGGTCATTGGTGTGTACGCACTCCATTGGTAGTCAGCGGTGCTTAAAGTTTAACTTGGCCCTGTCTCTGCACAATTATATTTTCTGTACTGTAGTTGTTAACTGGATGGTAAGCAGCACTGTCATTTAGTTTAAGTTTCAATTCTCATTTGTATATCATATCTCAATTTGACCAACAAACTCACCGAAGTGACATTCGATTGCACCGTGTTTGGCGTAATAGCTTTAAAGTACAGTTAACGAGCAAAATCCTCTAAATATATTTCGTAAGGCATCTTAGTGATCAGCAAGTATAGCTAACCAACACCAGAAGACTTACAACACTTCACATACTTCACTGAGTATCCCATGATGCATTAGTAAAAGGATTCCTTTTTCAATCTCCTCCTAATAATAGGCGTCTCCGTCGATTTGTAGAACGCTTCGACAATGGATGGAGATTAACATGTTATTTTTGATTGATGGTGACCAGCGATGGCATTCAGGATTCGCATTTAGTTCCGGCTGGATGTACCTGAGTCCCCAGTTAGTGACAATGTCCCCACTGACACTCGAACCTTAAAACCTTTATTTCAAACGCCAAAGTGTTATCCGCTGAGAAGTCCTAAGGAAGACGAAACGTGAATTCTGGATCCCACTGCTGGCCAGCACCAACTAAAAATAACACCATGTTATTCTTCAGACATCGTCAAAATGTCCCTACTAGGAGTCAACACATCAACAGAGATCAAGCACTTCAGTCCAACATGGTGAATCAACGGGAAATGCAAATTAGCCAAAACACTAATAGCAACTGATACCCGTTACACAAGAGGTTGCTGCCGTGACGCTCGAAGTCCAGTGGATAATGCTTTGGTGTTTGAGATGGTGAGTGAAGCATTCGAATCTCAGTGGGAACATCGTCACTAACTAGGGACTCAGGTACATCAGATGATGAGTCCCAAGTGGAATGAAACACACACCCAAGATTCTATAGATAGATACCGCCAACCAAATAACAACATATCTTCAGCTAATCAACGATCCTCGGCACAAGCTGTGCAAAACTGCTACACCGATGTTTTTGAAATTTTTTATTGACGCTTTTCTCCTCTGAAATGTATCATCAACTGGTAAAGACACCATGCGACGCTATCATAACATCACCAAGACCATCCAAAGCTCGCATGCAGTAGGAACTAATCTCCTCCAGGATAATCACAGCAGGATTTAGATCAAAAGGAAGGGAAACTATAATTATTCAATGCTACACTGCCATAAACAACGCAGACCAAGAGAAGAAAGAAGTATTCTACAGACAACTGCAAACGGTGATGGATAACACCCCAAAATGACGACATCAAAATCATAACAGTTATATGAATGTCAAACTTGGAGCAAACAATACAACAAGAAAACTTACTATTCGTATGGGCTTTTGATGAAATGAGTGAGGATGGAGAAGTCTCCTCACACTTCTGCACTCCCAATGATTTGGTGATTGGAAGTAGCATATGGGAACGCACGAACATACACAATTTGAAACAAGTTTCACCAGATGGATACACCAAAAATAAGATAGACTTCATCCCAGTTTTAGTAAAATGGAGACGCAATACGCTGAGGACAAAGTCGAGAAGAGGTGTTGCGGACTCACACCATCACTTAGTTCAAGAAATCTTCGAAGTCAAGTCGAAAGCATTCAAAACAACTGGAGATAGGCCACAGTTCAAGTTTGACGCTCAGAAACTGAAGTACAAAGCTACAAAGGATAACTTCATTGCCACCATCAGAACACAATCGGAAACATTATGTTGCATCATCGAGGAAACCTGTCTAGTCGTCTCAGAAAGGAGTAAGACAAGGAACGGTTCTCTATGGTCACCTGGAAGCTAATATGAGAGGGAAGGATAGTGAAACAGAAGATGAGCCAATCTAAATATGGTCAACAGG